GGAACGCGCCGTCCGGTGGCGGTCTAGTCTGACCCGCGCTAGGGGCCTCCTCCCGGGTGGCGGTCTAGTCTGACCCGCGCTAGGGGCCTCCTCCCGGGTGGCGGTCTGGCCTGACCCGCGCTAGGGGCCTCCTCCCGGGTGGCGGTCTGGCCTGACCCGCGCTAGGGGCCTCCTCGCGAGATGCACCTGCCGGGCGGCCTGCTGCGCCGGGTGGGCGCCGCGCTGGACGAGAAGCGCGGCCGCGGCAAGGACCGCGAGCGGCGTGACCGCCGCGCCGCCCCGGCCAGCAGGAGCGGCCGCAGCAGGAGCGGCAGGAGCAGGAGCAGCCAGCGGCGGCGGAGCCAGCGCCGCTCCGCCGACAAAGTAAGCCCAGTGTTCTCGGCTCGAGTTGACCTGTGGAAAGGTGTGGCGAGTAAAGCCGCCTCACAGACATCGTCGCCGCCCATTTGTAGCTTCCTCTTCTGGGGATGTCAGATGAGAAGATAGCTGATAGTTAGCACGCTGTAACATGCACAAGGAAGAGAGAACTCTGCGTGATGAACAATTTACACGCATGTGACACCAGGAAATTTGCTAGTAATTTGTCGCCCTCAGTCACTCAGCGTATAAGTGAAAGCCATTTGCAACCTTAATAAATGAACGTCTCAAGTGTGACCAAGTTCAGAATATTTCATCCACAATTATCTGCCAAACATGCGCAGCTGTTTTGTTGAAAATATTGTTAAGACATTAAGACATTACATTAAGACAGTGGATTGCGGCATTGGTTGTTTTTTATCTTTTCTTACCGCTTTAAACATCACCAAAAACATTAACCAAACCTACATAGTCAGCAGAGTTCAGGGTCCACGGTCATGGACAGCCAGAAGCACCACGGAACAAAGAAGCTTGGTATACAGACAGCTGATGACATGTTCGGATGGCGCAGTCAAATCACGTCGGCTAACGTGGCCGCGCACCAGCAAAACCAGTTATGACGCCTCCTGCCGGCGGAGGTGGAGGAGACGGCTGTTTATAGCTCCTTTTTAGGGTTGCAGGAAAAGAATTGCTATAGGCGTATGAAACTTGTAATAACTGTTCATACGTGTTTCATCGTGCACTGTAAAAACGGATTCAATGTCACTGCAGGTGATTGGCCTGATATTGGTCTAAAAGGCTCATTGCAGTGCAGTTTGCTGGTTAGTTGCGTCCAATAAGAGCAGACTTTGAAGGATCTTCAGAGCTAGGAGCGCATTACACTGGTCTTGTACCGGTCGGGGCACTCGCCTGTGACATTAAGACATCGTCCAGCATCTGTTGACTTTTTGTGCACTGTGATCACGAATCGTAGTTGGTCGGCAGTGGTGTCTGTGTCTTAAAGTGGGATACGGGGGGTGACGTTTAGATCGTAGGTGAATCGGGAAACTGAAGCTGGTTCCATCACGTCAGTTGGCCCTTGCCACTGGCGTCGACGAAGATGTCGCCGACATGTGGTACGTGAAGTGCAGGAAGAAGGGATGCATTTTGAAGAACTTTGTTTTTGCACGTGGCACATGTAGGCGTTAGCAAGCGGTCCCAAGGGGGACCCATGACGACTTCATTCTTTTGTCGGTGAGTTTGCCGTTTGGTGCACGAAATGGTGCCTCCGTCGCACAGGCTCGCAGGAGACTCTCAAGAAGGGTGAGACTGAGTTTGAAAGGAGTGAAGGTTGGGTGGCAATAGATGTTTACATGTAAAATTTGCATCTTCTCCTTCACTGGAACTTCCGCAAATAAGCCGTCAACGTGTAGTGATACTAACAAGCAAGAAGGTCGCGTGCTTTTTAAGATGTACGGGAACTCGTCCGTTGACTTAAGGCCATGTTCCACAGGAGTGTACGGTGCGATGCGGCAGTTGAGTTGGTACGCCAGTTGGAAGGTTGACGCTGGGCACTGTGAAATGATTGGGTGCAGCAGCTATCCTGTTTTGATAATTTCGACTTTGCCATACATACATGCCGACTTAGGCGTAGCCGGGCTGGTAGTCACCAAAAGTCTTCTGGAAATAAGCACCATTTCTGACAGCATTTACACAGTCGATCAGCTTGTCTACCTTGATTTTCAAGCTGGATGTAACGTCTGTGTTGTTATCTGGTGAGAATCTTGCCTTTAGAGTCCGAATAAAACTGACGCCATCGGCCTATGAGGCAGTGGAGTGCTAAGCCTTCTCTAAAAACTGACGTCAGCAAACATAGAATAAGCCGATCAAACTGTTCTATTAGAATCAGATGTCTGATAGTTGTAAAACAGACGAGCGTATCCTATCATGAAAGATTACCTCACGGGCATATCTGACCCCTTGAAACAAACCAACGTATTTGACGAGTTTTTTTGTGACATCGGAGATTGCAGACTTCTGAAGCAATCAAACAACGTTGGTGTCTCTACCAACACACATTTGGTTGACGATGCATTTAGCTAAGGTGCTCCAAAAGGTCACATAAGAAAAGAACACGGCCGGAACACCACCCGAGGCAACCTCTCCAGAAGCACCAGCTTCATGGCGTTATGAAATATTAAGAGGCCTTTTTCTAGAGGCCGCCGTGATCAAAACTTCGTCACCGGAACTGAATAAACGAACCAGCCACTGGGTCACCCGTCACCTTATTTTGAGACGATCGTTGCCATTAGTATAGGTAGTATATATAACTATTCAGCACGCGTTTTGCCGCTTGAATTCTTATGCTCCCAAAAATGTCAACCGCCTCATTTGGACTCTGTACAGTTTGACGATCGAACTGAACTCGATTGTATCTAATTGTTAGAGCTAACTTGTTATACCTAATTGTAACACACACACCCACCCACACCCACACCCACACCCCCCACCCCACCCACACCCCCACCCACACCCACACACCCACACCCACACCCCCCCCCCACACACACACACGCACGCACGCACGCACACACGCACGTACGTAGGCATATGTATATTACATGTATATATATATATATATATATATATATATATATATATATACATATCGCTCTCTCTCGGTCTCTCTCTGCCTCTCTCTCTCTCTCTCTCTCTCTCTCTCTCTCTCTCTCTCTCTCTCTCTCTCTCTCTCTCTCTCTCTCTCTCTCTCTCTTTTCCCTTTCTCCCCCTCTCTCTCCTTTTCTCTGCGGATAGGTGTGTTTTTGCGTAATATGTATTCGCTATATTCTTTTGGTTTCGCTTAACACCTCGTGCAAATCTTCTTGTATCGTAGTAAGCCCCAGAAAGAATCCTTAAAATTGGTCATTATATAACAACGTTTTTTAGAGCGTGTGATGTTATTAAGGTCAAGTGCCTCAAACGAGATCATATTTTCGCACATATTTTACCAACATCAGAACATAAAAGGTAGTTGGGACGAATGGCGCGTGGCAAATTGGTGTTAGGCTATGCAACATGACATATCATGTCTAATGCATCTGACAAAATAGGGGGGCTGTGGCCTGATGAGAACGGTGGCGTGCCGGCATTTTGCGGGTTTTAATCCATTTTGTCCGGAGCGGGGCAGAGTATGACCAATAATTCTCGTTAAAGTTTGATGTTTTATCGCAGCGTTTCAATACAGGAGTAGCGTGAGCTGTCACCCCAAGTACACCAGAGCGAAATGACAGATTTGTCCATTCTGTGCGTTTGCACCTGAGTCATTAGGCGTTGCTATCACAGATCTAGCATAGGATAAAGTCTTAATGTCATGCATCGCACTCGCCTAGCTCAATTTCAGAAAATGCGCATTGGAGCCCTCAACTTTAGCATCCTTTTACAATAAGACAGTGATTAGCCTTATTCCTCGGGAAAAACCAGGAAAATGAAGATATAGTTTACGTCATGGAGATACATTGTGTTTCAATAATGGCTTGTTGCCGAAATATAAACCTAACTGTATCTCTATTCTCCTGTTTTTTTCAGGAATAAGGCTAAAACTTACTGTCTTATCTATGTGAATAACGTTCCTCGCTAATGCACTGAACAACTCACGTTATCTTACAATAGCAAAGCGCAGCTTCTCTCATTGAAAAAATTAACAATATCTAATCGTATTTCCCCTCTTCGGAGAACCCATCGCTTCGAGGGATCTCCAGGAAAAGTGGCTCGAGACCGTTTGACGTACCTTTTCATACTGCTCTTCGTGACTACCGTAGTACTCGTATCTGGTCAGGAGAGACCTGCCGTATCGGTTTAGCGCGGAAAGGCGAAATGAGTGTCAACACGTTTGAATAAACCTCCACGAGTTTCAGCACGTTTGAATAAACCTCCACTCATCAATCTTCCATAGCGCCGTCTCTGGTGGTCGTCTCATACTCAAACATGCAGTTTCCAAGCTATTGCTGTTTCCAAGCGTTGGAATCATTCGTGTCGACTTCGTTCCATGGCCGAGAACAATTCTTGACGTGAACATAACATCAACGTTCTTTACCGAATACTTCTTACCTTTCTCTCTCATCTCTTGCCATGTCGGTCGTGCTTCGGGATGTCTCGCTAGTACTGATTGATGGATAAATGCATCCAAACGCAGTGGCTATTCTTTGTACAAATGGGCGACCGAGTGGCATAATTACGTCAAGGAAGCCAAGGCCTCGGTGTACATGCTCAGTAAGAACCCCTGCGCCGGGCTCACGTGTGTAATTGGCCTGAAACGTTCAGGGTTATGCTGGCAAATACTGTACGGGGGTTTCATCAACCTGTTCCCCAGCCGAATACCGTGGTTGCGCCGTGCATACCTTAGTACCAGGTGAGCCGCTGTCCAGGCGTCCTCATACTTTGGCGGACGATGGTGCTTAATTGCGCCCTTCATTTATGATTGCGAAAGAGAGCACTCGCCTAGCAAAAGTCAAATGAGAGCGCGAGAAACCGGCCACCTCAGCCGTTCTAACTATATGCTCCTGGCCACGCCGCAACCCTGGCTCGCCAACATAAGTCCGCGCCAACGGCTGTCTCTCGGAGACACCGTCAGCGTCTGGTCGCGCCATGTTGGCCGGCGAATCGGCCCGAGTCGAGAGGCCCGAGCAGCGTCGGAGACCGCCAGTCGCCGCCGGCCGAGAGCGTGCAGGTGCGTGCGTGCGTGCGCCAAGGTGCAGGCAACGATTGTGGACTGCGTGCGGGGATGCGTGGCGGCTGACATGCGGATGGATCCGGACGTCGGCGCGCAGGTAAGAAGCCCCAGACCCGGAACGTGGGACTCGCGGCCCGCCGGTTTGAGTTGAGACACTCGACGACTCAGCCGACACTGACGAGTGACGCAGGGTGTCTGCGTGCATCAGCACTGGTCGATCGTCGCATGTCTGTCGGTCCTCTCACATGCTTGCTACCAGCCTACACTATGTTAGGGGCTTCTTACTATCCCATCCTGTGATAACCATTATCCCGGCATCGTAACTGGGACGTACCCGCGTCTTGCATGTTTCTGAGTCATTTTTATTTTGGTGCAGTTCTACATGGCCAAGTTACAAAAACATTCCAATCTACCTAAACCTTAATGAGGTGCGGGCCCCGTAGGCCGCAGTGGTGATTAGGCGTATGTATGATTGTGCGGTATTTTATGGGTGTTTGTGTGCGACATCACTGTTGGGCAAACATACTTATTCGGCCATCATATTTTGTTTTATGACGGTTCGGTTATCGCCGGAATGCTAGTAGGCATGCTTAGGAGGTAGTTTACAACTTAATAAGATTTTGCGCATGCGAGTGGTTCTCAAAGCTCTGGAAGGTGAGTTCCATGTTGTGGGTCCATTTATTGTGACTGTGGCGCTCACTGTCGGCGGCTGTCAAGCAGCTTGACACTTCTTCATGCGGATGAAATAGAATACCATTAAATGACGTTCTTGACCTGCGTAGTTTCAAAAGCCTTGGCAGCTATGTATCCAACATTCTTACGTGCTCCTGACTACAGGCATGGCAAACGAAAGGTTTATTGCGCTGACCACTATCAAGCTGACAAAAGCTTAAGTCGACTTGGATTTGAATGTGTGGCGCGAGACCAGTGGCTGACGTCACGTGATCTTTCTTCTTATTGCATGGTTGAAAGTCTCCCTGGTAATTGGAAGCAAGCGCTTCAAAAGCTGGCCCTTTTGTATCATTCAGCAATCCAACGAAAGTTATGATATCATACCTTGCTCAGATTTATTTCAGCATGAAATTTTTCTCATTCGAAACCGAATGTGGTGTACTAGGCTGGTCGCACTTTGCACTTCTTGCTATTCCTTGCTATTTCTTATTTGACACTAATAGCTGTTTCCTTTTAGGAGGCCGTTATGACCTCCCTGAGCCGTGCTGCGCTCATGTATTAACTTGACCAATATGAAGAAGAGGGTTTTGTTTTGACTTGATAGACCATTCTCAAGCTCTTGGCGTGTCATCATTCTCGCGGCATCTTCGTGTCTATCACGCAACTTGTAACCCATTGACTCTAAATTGACATTAAGCCATAGGTACGGAGCGATTGGTAGTAAATACATGTCGTGACATGTCATTTTAGGCCGATCGTTGTGCGTCTAGTCGCGATCACCTTCCTGCTCAAACCCGCTTCGGATTCCTGAGTCCGTGGACTCCATGCTCGCCGGGCTCTATCAGATTGCTTTCCCGTCCTATTTTAGAGTGACGTTTTTGCAGCCATTTTATTACGGCGCTCAGGACAATTATCCGAGTACTTCACTGGTGCAGGCGCAGATATTTTACGGCTGTTCATTAATGGTGGGACTCTGTGAAACACGCTGAGCCGGCTATCCAGCTCTCTTCTAACCAAGCCAGGACGCGGACCAGAAGCTGCTCCGCCGTCCGGTGCCTGTCTGCGAGAGGCAAAACAAAGCCAGCTGCTTAGTCAAAAACAAACACAGAAATCATGTGATGAGCTATGGACCACAATAACGGGTGATGGGCAGCCATGCTGGAGTCCATTCGATACATGAGCGACAATCATTGTGGTAAAAGGTTGCCGTTTATGTCTAACGTAATGACAACGTAATGTTAATACACTGTCATATCGATATGTTAAAATGATATCGATCCCCAGTACGGTACACACCGCGCAACTGCAATATGGTGCAATTGCGGCCGATGCTCCAGAGACTTGCCGAAGCAAAACACAGTTTGGCTGACTGCAGTCTTGCGGTGGTATTCCAGCGGTGCCTGTGATGTGCGGTCACTCGTGTGGGAGCCGCCGAAGGGCGGCAGGGTCGCCCGTCTGCGGCTAATCGTAGGGAGCCGCGCGCATCGCCTCCGTTTCAGGAGGGCCGCAGGGTCGCCCGTCTGCAGCTAATCGTAGGCAGCCGCGTGCGTCGCCTCCGTGTCAGGGTCAGGATGGCGGTGATAGGCAGCAGGGTAACAACTGGTGACGTCACTCGAAGCGCGCCAGGTCAGTGGGCGGCGTCCTAGCGACTAGACCAGCGTGCCACAGCCGCCTATTTCGGCAGGTGCGAATTGCTGTGTGCCAGACAAGACAGCAATGCCATCTTTGATGCGCATTACAGTTGCTACTGTGCTTGCCGTTCGCCCCTGAATGCATATAAAAGTGGATGCGGTACGGGGTGCTCCGTTGCTTGTGCAAAGTAGCACTGGACATAACATGAGTTGTCAAGTGCGGCCATCATTTGACGTTGGAACCCTTTCGTTATTTCCCTTTCCACGGTTCTTGCAGACGTACATTCTCTATAGCACGTCTATAGCAGTGAAATCCAAACATATCCAAACAGTAGTCAAGGAACGCAAACTCAGCAAATCGGCAAGCTTCTTATGTCAATGCGCTAGTCCTGTCTGGTGCCGTGTTAAGATCTGCCTATCCACGCTTCCACAGCGCGTCGTTGGCGCCTCACCTTTGCCAGGTCCACCAGTGGCCAGCTGTGGTGCCTGGCGCCGAGCTGCCCTTCCATTACCAGGCCCACCAGCGGCCAGCTGTGGTGCCTGGCGCCGAGCTGCTCTTCCATTATTAGGCCCACCAGCGGCCAGCTGTGGCGCCTGCCACCGCGCTGCCCTTTCATTACCAGGCCCACCAGCGACCAGTTGTGGCGCCTACCGCCGAGCTGCCCTACCATTACCTAGCCCACCAGTGGCCAGCTGTGGTGCCTGGCGCCGAGCTGCCCTTCCATTACATTTCACGCCGTGTCGGCCGGCGCCGCGAGGCCTTTGTGTCGGTGCGCGCGCTACTCAGGACGCAGATTGGCCGTGGTTCCCGAGACAGGTGCCGTGAGGCCGTGCGACCAAGCGACCGCCGCCTCCGCCGCCCGGCTGCCCGGCTGTCCGAGCACGCGAACGGGAACCCGTCACGGAGATGGGCTGACGGCCAGCCGCACCGGCTGCTGCCAGCGGGGGTGGACACAAGGCGTGAGATGTCTCTGGCCACCTTGCGCAGTCACCGACCCAACGGTCTTGATTCGCTCGTGGCTGGTGGGGGACATGAGACCCGCACCTGCGCCATGTGTAGTGGTATCCGCCCGGGGACAAGTCCCCCCACGCGGAGCTCGTAGCCGCGGAGAGCGGGAAGGACGCGGAACGGGTGCCGGGAAGTAGCGATCACTGCACCCAGCGGGCCGCCCGAGAGCTCGCTTCAGCTGATGTTATCTGGCATCGGCGCCGAATTACCCGCATTCCGCTCGCAGACAGTCTCGGAGCAAGTGAAGCGTGTCGGCCGTGCAATTAACGATTTGTATGCACTGCGTCGCGCTGGCGGTTCATGTGTGTGGGCCCATGTGGCTTTCATGTGTGGTGTCACGCTTGGCCAGCGTTTCCGGAATGGGACACATCCGAACCGTATTGAAGGTAGTGTTGCGTGGTTTGTGATATTTTCGCATCTTTGCTATTTTTATGGGTTGATTATTTTAGCTGCTCGGTCAATTTCAATGAAAACATCTTGCAAACCAGGCAGTCTGTTCTCAAAATGAAAAAATGCACACGTAAATATGCTAATGAGAAGATCACGGGTAAATGTCTAGCCCGGAATTGGGTTGGGAACTTAGCTTGAGAGATTAACCAGCGGTATAGCAAGTATAACGCATGCGTTCGTTGATGGCCCATGGCTTCTCGGGAGGTGTTGATGACGTTTGGAATGAAGGTGTTGTGACTTGCTTTATCGTTGCTTAGGTAACGTCGGTGCATAGCATGAGTGCAAAGGTCTGTGAAGCGTTTGGCGGGGAGTTTTTTCTCACAAGCTACCTTGGTATTCGGAATGCGTGTATTGATAAGCATCCACAAGTCGGTACAGAATGTGATATGGTTAAGTTCAGTTAACCTTGCTCTGTCTTTTGATGCGTATACCAGTCACAGGATGTGACGCTTAAGGTCACCCACCCTGCGCTAAGTCACTGGTCAAGTCATCAGACCAACCTGCCAGGGCAGCCTACAGACACCCCGCGCCCGTATCGATGACGTACGCGACACACTCTGACGTCCAGTACGCCTGCCCGGCGGAAGGGGGCGGGAGGTCCGGACCAGCGGTCCGGGCCGGCGGTCCGTCGGTGGTCCAGGCCATCGGTCCGTCAGTGGTGCGGGCCGTCGGTCCGGGCCGGCGCGGCGGCTCGCTCCGGTGAAGCCCGGCCACCGAGCAGGCCCGCAGCGGCCGGCGGCGTGCCGCGGTCAGCCGTTCGTCGCTGGCGGCCGCCGCACGGTAACGGTGCCCGGGAACGGGGCCTGCCTGGTCGGCTCGCCGCCGCCGCCGTCACCGTCGGCGTGACCGGCCGGTGCGCTCGGCGGCGGCGGCGCGGACCGACCGACTGCGGACCGACCGTCACACACGTCTCCGACCGATGCACCGCCGCCACCGCGGCTTCAGCAGCCGCTGCTGCTGAAACAACCTGCCGCTGAAACCCGTGCGCAGCAGAAGAGTTGTTGGTCTCAATTCGGCTGGCGCGCAGTGGGAGTTTCTCACGGCTTTTGATGTGCGCTGTCGGCTCTGATGGGGACAGAAAGAAGTCCTTACCGTTTGTCTGCCGTGACATTCTGATCGGTAATGAGTAACAATTTTCGGTAGACCGCAAGGATAACCGGTCCCGTAGCATGTGGCCACGATTATTTTGCCCAGATTACAAGGCTGGGCGCTGAATGCATGACGGCGCTACAGTCATCACAGGTGGTGTCTTTTGTCTGTTGAGGCACCACCAGTCTCTGTCCTTAGCACCAGGAATGTAATTTCACACGTATTCCAACGCCTTTCATTTACGCTCGGCTCCTGATGCCTGTATGCTAATGAGCTATATGAGACTGTTGGGGTGGCTTTACTTTGTTGTTTGTGATACCAGGGACATTTTTAATGCACATGCATTCATCGTCTAGTCCTGGCAATATTCCCTTGTGTATTTAGGGTACCATTTAACAGCACACGTTCAAATGTTAGAACTAATCCGAAACACTTGTCGGGCATTTACGCACCAGTTGCTTCATCACAGCTGTTTTGTCTGCATAACACTGCAATATGACCATAGATGGACATTCAGTGCGTTGACGATACGGAAAACAGCAATCACAAGCCCTAAAAAAATCAGTTGTCTAAACCGGGCTCACTTTTTGGTATAGAATTGAGACGGAGTCAACACAATTTGACTAAACGGGGAAATACAGAAGCATACGAGTTCAAAGGCGCATCCTTGCGTGTAATTCTCGCACATTCACACAGGCTGTGGATGTGCTATTTGTAATTTTTTTGAAGAACTTCGACCTAACGATACATCGTTTTTGCTTTTGATTTTTCCGAAATCAGCACGCAATTCTGACTTCCAAAAACGGTTTTCCCCCAGGAATACTGAGCATCTAAAATGCTGCCAACCTTGCGTTTTGTTTTCGGCAGTTACTGCATCAACTAAGATGCTCACATGGTGCTACTTATTCAAAACAATATGAAATTTGTTGCCGCTTGATTACAAAAATGCTCTCGGAAAGAGAGAAGCAAAGTGAGTGTAGGACTTGCCTTAATTCTTTATGTGTGTGAGCCCAAGCAGTTTATCGGAAGGTCCGGCCCTTCTAAGTACTTGTATCGGGCCTCGACAACTAGAGCATGTGGAGACTTGACATTAGCTGAGTATCTTAGTCGGTAGATACCTCAGCACCCTCTCAGCTACATGTTTGACTTTACCAAAAGGAGAAGGGAAACGGGCCGCGTCGTCTCGAGAAAATGGCCCTTTACAATTTGGTAGTCTTGCCTTCAACGTTGATGCTACCCTAGCAGTGAAATTCACACGGGTTTAACTCGACCAAGTTCAACTGACATTCACCCAGATTTGTTTAAGAAATAATGCAAACGCAAATCAAAGCGAATTTACTCCCGAGCCTCGCAAAATTCGGCTCATTCGCGGCCAGGCTTTGACATGGCCGGCCGGTTCGTAGAAGGGTGCTGCCTCCCCCCGTGACATGGCCTTTTACAGGAGAGGCGCTATCGCCCCCCCCCCCCCCCCCGCCTGTGGCATGGCTTGTTGGTAGAAATGTGCTATTCACCCTCTGTGGCATGGCCGGTTGGTGGAAGGGTGCCATCCCTCTTATGGCACGGCCGGTTGATGGAGGGTGCTGTCCCCCCCTGGCCAGTCCCCGGCGGCCCCTTTCATGCGGGGTGGCGGCGCGGTGTCAGACGTGCGGCACGTGACCGACGCCCTGGCACGTGACCCGACAAATGTGGAATCGAAAGGAGGCCGCCATCAGTATTGACACTGTGAGATAAAGGTAATCTGTATGACTTGACGATATGACGCCGATATGCCTTCTACAACCAGGGACGTTGCCAGGGGGAAGGCTAAGAGGGTCGCCCCCACCCCCTTAACCAATAGTCTATTACTACGCGTTGGGCAATTCGGCAATAGTTTGGTTCAAATTGGTATGATTTGGGACAAAATGTCGTGTTTGCCCCTCCCCTGAGAACACATTTGGCTACGCACCTGTCAACACATGCACACAACATACATACATACACTCAAAAGTGGCAGCTTGGGACGTAACTATCGCATTGTTTAGTTCGTTGTTCAAGTATTACAGAGTCCTGATATCGAAAGGCTAATGTTAACACCAGAAGAAGGTCCTCGATTGATGCGTCCAACATCGTGCGTTGTACATAAACTGTGGGAACTACAGCTAAGCTGTATCTCGCTACCAATTTAACCACCATCCTAGTTGAATATCGACGTATATAATATCGATAGCGAATATCGATGTACCTAAGTATCGATTATTTCCGCCTTCCGTCACTACACACGTGAAAGCTTTCTTTTGACGATCAGTTAGCACCGGCAAAAGGCATCTTTTGTCAAAAGGAACATTAAGTCATTCACTTTGATGCGTGCAGATTATTTGTGGCAAAATGATGATGCTGCTGCATTGCAAACTAGTTTGCAGGCACTGTTGTTTTGCCGATAAGTTTTTTTGATACAAATGACAATCAGATCGAGTCCGAAATAACTAAAACCTGGCAGCGTGTGTGATACGCGTCACTACCTTTGACATGCTATCCGGGGCCAAAGTGATTCCTTTTTACCTATATCAGATTCTGTTTCTGGTCCCCAATATTAAGTCAGGTTAGTTTGCTGCATGATGATTTCAATCTGGTGAAAATAATGCTGCTGTTTATTTCTGGCACGCTTTAGTTTTGATCATAGCGATAATTTCAGTGACTTTTACAGTAACGGTCACCCTTTAATTGTCTTTACTCGCCTGATATGCATGATATCAATGTATAAGGTAGATTTTATTGGACCGATGGCTCAATGTAATCGCATTTTAAAAGTGTATCATTGCCCTCGCTCCGATCCAGGAGAATGCTAGTACGTCACTGTACAAAGTCAAGGTGTCAATGTGTAATGTTTCAAAGTCGTTGACTTACGCACATAATCCTAAAACGCCAATGTCTCCGTTTCAGGGAGGTGAAAGGGTGGTCTGGGAGTACCACAGCGTTTCACTGAACCGCGTGCCTGGCTATGGCTTTGGTATCGCGGTCAGCGGTGGTCGCGACAACCCGCACTTCACCACCGGTGACCCCAGCATCGCTATCTCAGACGTGCTCAAAGCCGGACCGGCCGAGGGAAAATTGCAGTAAGTGCGGCAAAAACCGCGTGTCGACTCTGTCCGAGTGAGCGACTGGTAAAAACGAGCAGCCGACGCACAACTTGTTCCGCGAGTCGGTCATAATTATTGTCTATAGCAAGCTGGGTTTGCTTGTTGGTGGACAAGCAGTAGTGGGATCGTCGCCATGGCCGGTGGACATGGACATGGACATGGACATGGACATGAACATGGACATAGACATAGACATGCATGGATCAGGCGGTGGCTGAACGTTGGTGTAGCGCTGAATGTGGCGACCGTCGCTCGCTGTTTAGCCTGACCGTGCGCGGCCTACGCTGGACGTCTCCCTCCTCCCCTCCCCCACCGTCGTCTCCGCCAGCGTCTGTCGTTCGGCTGCGAACGTGCTCCCTTCCCCCACCATCGTCCCCACCAGGGTCTGTCGTTCGACCGCGCACGTGTGGCGACGCCCAGCGTGTGGCGGCACGCGGGGTTCCTCCGCTGCGCAGGACCCCTGGGCTACCGAGCCGACGGGAGCCGACGCGGCTCGGCGCACGGTGGGCGAACCCCACTGGTCGCCGGCCGAAACCAGGCGGATTTGCTGGGCGGTGTCTGCGGAGAGTTCCGCGGGGCTCCAGTGAATCAGACGCACGTGACACTCACGATGCCGTCCAGCGCTGAACCGTGGCAAGGCGGTGTTTCGCAGTGTGGCGTAAATATACACGTTAGACGGACGCCGTCCTGCGTTGGTAGTTCTCACTGAACAAAGGCGAAAAGCTGGCCCCGCAATTTATGTGTCTCAGCTTTACGGCAGGGATCTGTATTTTGATGTCAGACTCAGAACGCCTTGGCGGTTGGGTATGACACATTCTTTGCGGAACCTTCCAAAGGGCTCTTCGCTGAAGGAAATAAGGCTACATAGATAGCAATGATTTTTAACAGATATTGATCCCCCGGCTTACCTCTGTCGAAGCATTCCTCTGCAGCGCCAAAGCATGACGCAGAAATGCATCCTACTTGGCCGGGCGTCAGGACTAGCGACGCTCTGAACGCGCTGGACTCGGAGCTGCTCTGTCCAGTTTCTGCACGCCGGAGGTGCATGTTTGGATTGTCACTCGTGTTCGATGGCCGCAGATAGTATGCAGGATTGTAACGTTACTCCCATGCCACTTGGTATGCAGCACACCTGCTCGTGCCGCCCGGTGCGCGGCGCCCCTCCCCCCCCCCCCTCGCCCGGTCGGCCCCGGTGGCATGCGCCACGTTAGCGGAAGCCTCGACAGAACCTCGTGACCAGTCGGCGACCTGGAAGACATCAGGACGGAGCGCCGCGTCTCGCCTTCCTGCTGTAAATGCTGCACCATTTAGGCGACAAACTGACTGCGAACAAGGCAACGTTGTGCAGATCACTTACAAGCTCGCTGGCAGGCAGCATCCTCTTTTCAGCTTCAATGGACGAGTGACACTTCCCGAAACATAGTAGGTGCCTCAGGCGGCTCTTCACCGTTCAATGCAAGATGAGGTTCTGCCGTGAGCGCACACTTGCTGTTTTATTTTAAGATGCCAATGCACTGTCAAAGCCAGACGTAGGCAAGGTATGCAGTGCACACCTAATCTATAGCTTAACGGAGGAGAAAAACTGCAAGCGCCGCATGTCCTTGTAATGAGTGTTTCGTCCTGCTCAGACGCCGAACCGTTGTGTGCTTCTAACATTATCCCGTGGATTGATATCATCACAGGGAGCCGTGAATAGGCTAATGTGGTGCAAATGGAATGCGATTCTGGCATACAGAGTGGATAAGGACTACCGCTGGAAGCACGCGGTAAAACAATCATTCGATGATTCACAGACGGCCTGCACGTTAGACGTCTGCAAACCTGTTTTATATTCCTGTTGTAGGGACACTCCCTTACCACTGATACTTTGAGGTCCACCCACGGGTGCAACCAAGCATAGTTCCGGGACCCCCTTATTCCCCGTATTCATTCCCCTATTCGGGGGTCTTATCTAGATTTTTATACTCCGTTTCGGGATATAGGTATAGGTATAGGTATAAGTATATGTATTATCCCAAGAATACCGATGTCAAATAAGGTGGTAAACATTCGGTCCACACTTGATGCTCGCCAACGTGCCCCTGCCGCTCAAATAAAACTGCTCCTTTTGAAACACTTTCATCATTTCAACTTTCCCGATTTCATATCTTTTGACAAATATGCGAGTTAATTTTCTTTACTTGTATAGTTTTACCGTTGGGGTTATATCTCCTTATCGATCGTAAACAACACTGCAAACGTTAAGAATTAACACGAAAGTTAACACAAAAGAGTTAGAGCTAAGAGAGTTAACACAAAAGTTAACACGCGCCCTGGTGGCCGGCTGGATACCATTCGATTGGGTGGGGGTCATTATGACTCCCCCTGAGATTTCAAAAACTAAGAGAGCTAGATACACCAAATTCACAGGGTGTGTTGACTTGTACGTGAACTTACTTCGGTCAAATTTTGAGGTTCCTAGATCATGATATTTGGGTCATATAAGGTCAAACAAGGTCAAACTCCAGGTTTGTCTCCAAAGGGCCCCTTGAACCTAGAGAACTGTTATCAAGCAAAAGATCGCATGCTTATTTAAGCTCAGTGACTTTGCTTGACTTTTTGAAGGTCATGGTGACCAAAATAATGCAAGACCGCTCCGAGTTTTGCAGCTGAATAAGCGACAAAGATAACGCTAGGCAGTATGTTCCTAAAAACAAAACGTTTACCTGGGTGAGTTTAGGTCAGTGACCTGTTCTGACCGTTAGAAGTCCATGAAAGGCATGTAATGCGGTTTCTGTTATCAATAAATTCAAAATGAGTAACACGAACTACCCCATACAGCAAGCCCTGGAGAAATAAAACAGGTTAGTTTCGACCTTAGACTGATCTTCATACCTGCCCTAGGTCAATGCAATTTGTTCATTCAATTGTTGTGTTGCCTTAGAGGGTATCCCAGAGATGCACGGCTTCGTCTAACACTCCGTTGTTGGATCAGATCAAGTGATTTCCTTGAAATTGCCTTCGCTGAGAACATAGCCTGACTTTGATCTGCCATGGGCCAGCCAGGTTACAAGGTACATCTAAAATTGTGATGCCAGACAATCCGCTATTCCATTGTTTATAGCTATGCAAAATTTAGCACGGCCTCACCTCGCCGTTCGAAAACCACTTCCAAAAAGCCTTCGGGGGTCAATTTGACCCCTCCCGAGCGCGTGTTAACCATTCCCGGCCGGAGATATGGGGGAAAGTCACTTTGTTGTGACCCCCATAACAAACTCCCGGTTACTCCATAACAAACTCCCGGTTACTCCATAACAAACTCCCGGTTACTCCATAACAAACTCCCGGTTACTCCATAACAAACTCCCGGTTACTCCATAACAAACTCCCGGTTACTCCATAACAAACTCCCGGTTACTCCATAACAAACTCCCGGTTACTCCATAACAAACTCCCGGTTACTCCATAACAAACTCCCGGTTACTCCATAACAAACTCCCGGTTACTCCATAACAAACTCCCGGTTACTCCATAACAAACTCCCGGTTACTCCATAACAAACTCCCGGTTACTCCATAACAAACTCCCGGTTACTCCATAACAAACTCCCGGTTACGCGCTCGGGTCCAGCCGGCTTTCGGTGGCTCGATCAGCTGATCTGCCCGAGCTGGCACCATTCGTAAGCAGTTCTCTACGGCTCTCGTTACGCTGCAGCCACGCCTGCGGCCGTCAGACATCAGTCGCCTCGCTCCCACTGGGGAGACCGCTGGCTGTTCGAAGCAGTTTGCGCGCCAGCCGACCACCCGCGGGTCGTTTGCTTCCACCGCTGCGAGCGGCCGGCTGTGTGGGCCGTCCACAAGCCCAGACCGCGGCGTGACAGGTGCCATCCCTCTCCCGTGACGCGATCGCCACCGGCGCGCCACTTATCGCCACCGCCGTTGACCGCGCCGCGCCCGTTCCAGCGTCAACGACCGCGTGCTCAGCGCCAACGGGGTCTCCCTGGAGAGCGTCGACTACGCCACGGCCGTGCAGGTGCTGAAGGACTCGGGCCAGCTGGTGCAGCTATACATCAAGCGGCGCGTGGTGCTGCCAGCCATCGGCGAGCCGCAAACCATCCGCCTGACACTCACCAAGACCCGACGCAAGGACGGTACGTGGGCGCACGAGCTTGCGTGTGTGCGATGCTGCACAGCCTGGCACTGGGGGTGGGGCTGAGAGCCGGTGGTGTCGGCAGGTCGTAGTGCGGGAGTGCTTTGAGCGATTTCGGTGGGAGGAGGTCGATACAACGGCCGGAATAGGCTGCACTGCGGGGCGTGTGCTGGTATTGTGCATTTGCTGCTTCGTTCCTTATTGATCCCATGGATTTATCGTAGATACATGGGTTCCAGCCAAACCCATTGATTCCACGGATCCTTCTGTGGATCCATCAGCCAATGGATCACACCCCATTGTCTCGATTGGCGCCGGCGACGTCTTGGACCGCAGAAATCGAGGCAAGGGTTGTGCTTACAACCCGTCACAGTCTTCCATCTTTTAAGACAAACTCCGAAGCGTAAAATCTTACCTCTTACGACGAACAGTATATATATATATATATATATATATATATATATATGTGCGCGCGCGCGCGTGTGTGTGTGTGTGTGTGTGTGTGTGTGTGTGTGTGTGTGTGTGTGTGTGTGTGTGTGTGTGTGTGTACTGCTAACATAACCATAAACTTAAAGAGGATATCATCGTTCACTAATCACCTAGCGTGACGGTACCCCCAAACTTAGGTGACGGCGCGCCCCATCTGCCACCGCTGCCCTCGTCACACCCGGTGGTCCGAACCGAACTGACCTTGGTGCGGGCTGCGCCGACACACCTACCGCCGGAGTCATGACTCACGTCCAGTCGGCGGGCGACACTGGCCGGTGACTCACTAGACTCCAGCGCTGTCTATTAACCGCTGCACTTGTCGGGGGAGGTCGAATGCTTATGATCATAAACACAGCTTCGAAACGTTAAATTTTGTTAAAAATGTTTGCTTGGTGGCTTGATATCACCACTCAACCAGTGTGTTCTGTTATATTCAAGTTCTTACTTTCAGCATGACAACTCTTAAGTCATACACTCGTTTATTTTTGCTGCCTAGCGTCGATCAAAAGCGTTATTTACTCAGGACTGACAGTAATGTAGACCCTGTGACTTGAGCCGCTGCCGTCGATCGCCGCCAGTACACTCTTATTGCAACGGCGAAACCTCTAGGCTAGGTGGCATTCGCGTAGGATAGGTGGAAGAACCTGTGTCCGCAGCGTCCCATAGTCAGTTTGGAACTCACTTAGCGACAGGGTGACCTTTAAAAGGCTTGGTACCTAGCCTCTGAACCATTTCAAAGGACCGAATGAAGGCAAGTCACGTGGCACCGCTCCTGCAGCTACATACAAAAGAGGCCAACTAAAAGAAACTAGTTGATATAAGCCACAGCTGAAGTTACGTGAGAATTGTTAGTTGCTTGACGTTTCATACAAGGTTGGAAATTTTCGATTTTTTTGTAGGCCAATTTGGCAACTTACGCCTGCCACCCACGCTGCCGCCGCCATAATATATCGTGGATTCTCGTAATAATATATGGTTTTTCTCCTTCCCAGCGGCAACACAGGTCAGTTTCGTGAAGTACAGTGCAGTCACTCGTGAAACGTGCGCAAAATTTTAATTTTGCAGGCAGTTTCTCGTCGTCAAGGTGTACCAGCTATGGCGAGACTCATGTTTTGCGCTATGCCGAATTATCGTCACTGATGCACCGTAGATGCCCCTCCAAAACACTACGGTCGCGGCACGACACGTTGTGTCCGTCATGGCATTGACAGGCGGCGAGAGCCTGCGAACAGTCATGACTGGCTGTGTCACGGCCAAGCGCCGCGGGCATCGGTCACACCACTGCCTGCCCGGAGCTGGCACCGGCCGGTCAGGAAACGGTGTGGCCCGTGGACCGGGCCGGGCCCTGGCCTTGAGGCGCCCCCTGGCGGCTGGGGCCCGGAAATGCGGTCGGCGGCCGCTCGGCCCCGCCCTTACGGCGGCCCGCTGCTGCGTCCCCGGCGCGGTTCGACGCGGCCCGCGTTGCGGCGGCACTCAGGCCGGACCGCCACTGGCCGGGACACAGGAGAGGCGCGCCCGGTGCCGACGGGTCAGCCGCTTACAGCTGGCCCGCCACTGCAACCACTCACAACCAATGCCGGCCTGCGAGTACTTAAACGACGAAGGCCTCCCCGGTGGCCGCCTATTCGTGACAGAAGGACTGGCTACTGCGTCCCTTGGTGAAACAGTTGGGCCGGCAAACGCACCGCGACAAGTGAGGCCGACGGGGCTGGAGTATGGTCCGAATCGGTCCGGCTTACCACCCCGGCTCCTAGGAGCGAGCGAGAACAGCATACCGAGGCGGTGGCTTATCGGCGAGCAAACAGAGACGCCTGCTGGGCTGGGCATTCCGTCCAACAGAGTGTAGGCGAGTTGGCCAGCCCGTCAGCTGGCGTCCCCTGCCCTCCCTCCGAGTCGGCCGGGCCTGCTTGTCAGCTGGCGTCGCCTCCCCTCCCCCCGCCGCCAGGCCGGTCGGTTTTATAGGCCGCCCAGTCGGGACCTGCATAATGACGCTCATAATGTGGGCCGGGGTCGGGCCGACAGGTCTGACCATGACCGCCCCCCCCCCCCCCCCACCTTCTCCCCTCCCAGCCCGATTGATCGGCGGAAGTCAGACCGATCTCAGGTGGTGGAGGGAGGGGAAGGGGGAAAGGGGGGGGGGGGGTGAGTTGACTTATGAACGAGGCGTGCCTCGGACCGGTTTAGACGGCCGGGACACTCACGAATTCACGAAGCCTGCTTCAGTAGTGGTCGGGGAAACTAGTGGTGGCGAGGAATTCGTTCTGCGGACTTAGAGAGAGAGAGAGAGAGAGAGAGAGAGAGAGGAGAGAGGAGAGAGAGAGAGAGAGAGAGAGAGAGAGAGAGAGAGAGAGAGAGAGAGAGAGAGAGAGAGAACTCGTTGTTTTGGTTCAGTAGCTCATGCCGGCGCTTGCACACGTGGTTTGCTCTCTCTCTCCTCTCCTCTCTCTCTCTCTCCTCCTCTCTCTCTCTCTCTCTCTCTCTCTCCTCCACCCCTCTCGTCATCGTCTCCTCTCCTCTCTCTCTCTCCAGCTTCTCTCGCGTCATCTCTCTACGTCTCTCTCTCTCTCTTCTCTCTCCGTCGTCTTCTCTCTCTCTCTCTCTCTCTCTCTCTCTCTCTCTCTCTCTCCTCTCTCTCTATCTCTCTCTCTCTCTCTCTCTCCTCTCTCTCTCCTCTCTCTCTCTCTCTCTCTCTCCTCTCTCTGTATTCTTCCTGGAACTGTCTGACTGTCTGTCGGATGGGAAGCGGTGTGCCATGGACTTACCAGCTGGCATCGCGTGAGGCGCGATTGGAATGCAGCTTAGTCGGGAGCACATTCCAGAGATGGCATGCAGGCTCAGAACAGGTTCAAAGGCCTCCTCGATACGATAGGTGTGCTTATTCGTAATCTTCCGCTCTTTATTTTCTTATGATAATGGTATTACCGCATACCGCACTTCGTTTCAGTCAATATTCAAGAGAGGAAGGCTTGTTGCGCTTGCGGATGTGTAAGAAGCCAACGGGCTTTCCGTTTTCGCTGCCTTCTTATTTTGCCAAAATATTGATCCGCTTGAAGAAGCACACCAAACAACGCCGTGGCGCTTGATATTGCTTTATCCTGTGTGTAATTATTCCTGGCAGATTTCAATCGTGGCGAAGAGAGTAATAAGCCTGATGCCGCCTTTGGAAGGCTCCTTTGCGTCACTATGTGCGTCATCTAAGCTCTGGCACGAGCGGCTCTTATGCCGAGTGCAACTGTGCCCCTAGCACGCATGAAGCAAGCCACGGGAAAACTCGTGCGAATACATGCAGGAATGGTGTGGCTGATGGGGCGGCATATTGAAAAATGTGCCGACGGTATCCTGACCATACAAACCTATCAACTGAAACGTGGCTGGGCGATCAAGTAAACTACTTCATGGCACGCTCGTGAGAAGACTGGTAACAAAAGCACAATGACAATGACGGTGAGTCATTCTAGACAGCCCCCAGGTCAAACAGACCTTTCAGCCCATCCTTAGCTCTAATTTTCCGTAAGATGTGCTCTGACTTCCACAGCCCCCCATCTCCCTTGTCGTCGCTGCCAGTCCCCTATACGTCGTGTCCTAACTAGCTCCCAATTCCCACTGTGCCAACCGCCGGTGTGGTGCCCAGCGGAGTCGTGACATCGGCCCGCTGCTGCGGCCCACAGACTTCGGCGTGGTGCTCGGCTGCCAGCTGTACGTGAAGGAGATCACTGGCCGGCCAGCCATCGCTGAGCGGGACGTCACACTGCAGGAGGGCGACGTGGTGCTGCGGCTCAACCACCTGCCGGCCGACGGCATGCCACTGAAGGAGGCGCGCCGCATCCTGGAGGCGGCCAAGGAGCGGCTGAGCCTGACTGTGCGCCGCCAGCCCAGCGCCGCCGCCCTGCAGGGCAAGGGTGAGAGCGAGGCGCCAGCGGCGCACGCTCGCCACGGCATCGCACCGTCTGCCGGAGTAGACGGCGGAACGCCGGAGGGTGGTGAACGTAAAGTTCGCCACGCCAGAAAAGTCGAGGGTTTGTGTACAGGAAGGAAACGCGACAGGGCTGGAATATGCACAATTCCGATTATTACGCTATCCGTGGATGATGGCCATTTGGTATGAGTTAAAGGACTAAGGGGAACCGGTGTTCAACGTACTTCGATCGGTACTCTATTTGCGTGGCTGCTTTTCAGTGTCATGCTAGGTCTGCAGTTTGCCCTAGATCAGGCGATGCGCGTGGCGCCTGGCTGGAGTAGTGTACTAGGTGCTGCGGTGCGTTGTCGCATGCACGCCACGTCGTCGTCCGAACGCTGACGAGTACGGTCTCTGGCAGAGAGTCCATCGCACCACCAGACGCGCTCGCCGTCGGACGGCCGTCCCAGCTACGGCGCTAGCCAGAACCTGTACGTGCAGCCGCCGACTCGGTCCGACCGCGACCACCGCGCTGCTGGTCACCCGGACAGCAAGAACAACCTGGTCAGGTGCGGCGCACAGCAACGCCGCGTCAGGCTCAGGTCGCGAGAACTGGCCAGGCGTGGTACGCACCACTCGTTGTTGCACCACACAGGAATGGATCATGGACTTTACGCAATGGCGGGCCAGGACGACACGCGAGAACGGGTCAGGTGCGATACACGAGACCTGTTCATATAGACAGCGGACTATCAGACACCTTCTTAGTTAGGTACACGAGAGCAGCCTGGCGAGTTTATTGAGTATTTTTCTGTCATCTTTGCTTCTGTTGCGACCGGTGTTTCCTGTTTTATGAGGTAATACGTGCGTTGGACAGGACTGTTGCATGTGTTGTTTTATGTATTAGTGCAGCAACCGGCGGCAGACGTCGCTTTGCACCTCCTTACATCCCAAAAACAATGTCAAATGTACTTAACTACCCTCCGCGGCCAGCTGTCCTCCAAACACGCCGGCTGTACTGACCATGGTAGCAGTCACCCTGACCTGGTCGGCGCGCGAGGTGTGCTGGCCACGACTACGTGGCCACAGCCCTGCTGACTTCGCCGCTGCGCCGCAGGCAGAACGGCCGGTCCCGTGGCCCTCTGATGGACATCTCGCTGAGTCAGCTGGACCAGCCGGCCACGCCGCTGCTACACGGCCAGCGGGAGCCGACGCCGCCGCGGCCGCCGCCACCGCGAGACGCCGGTTAGTCCGGGGACTGCGACCGCTGGTAGCGCCGGTGCGAGCGCGGCTCGCCGGACGGCTGGCCAGCGCTGCTGCGCTTCGAGAGCGTGCGGCAGTAAGACAGCGGGCCGTTCAAATGCATTCTATGGTGTCGCCCCCTAAGGGATAAGGGATTATGGGTCTTTTACAGGCATCTGCATGCCATTTTCTTCTGTCATTTTGTTCGCAGGAGATGTTTATGAACGCACTTCCTTCACCGCACTCTGATACTGAGTTCGCTGCACTCCGGCCGGTCACTGATGCTGTCACTGCCCTGAGGGGGCCAGAGTGCAGCACTCACGCTGTCACTGCCCAGCCCGCGCGGGGCTTAACCGCGTCTGCCCCTTGTTCGCAGTGGACGCACCCTTGCCGAACGGTGTGAGCGGCTCTCACCACCCGCAGAACTCCGGTGCGTGGCCGACCGAGCCCCTCCCCCATCCCCCGACCCACTGAGCCGACCGTCATGAAGACGGCAGTCTTCATGACGGTCGGATAAACGCGATAGACGTCACGCGATAAACGGCGGCTTCTTCCGCCTCAGTTTAGTCCGTCTCAGTCCAGCTTACTGTAGAGCGGTGCCGAATCCCGCGTTCGATGTCACCCGTGGAATGCCGCCACTGCCGCGGTGTGGTGATTTATAACGGTTACCGTTAAGCGGCTTCCTGTTACAGATTTTTACGAGTCGAGAAGGCAAGCCAGCTACGATCAACATTCACCCCAATCCAAAGGACCAGCGTAAGTTTACGGCTTATGCAAGCATCCCAGTGTGCAGAAGAGCGTGCAGAAACGTTCCGGGTTCTGGGTTTGTTTGCCGTCGTCTCTCGTCGACTCACGGCAAACGAGTGACCGTTATGGATCAGGTGTTGCGCATCCAATTTCTTACAGCTGTTAACGCAAGTCCTAACTATCATGGCACCAGCTTGCAGACTCTGAGGCTTGTGCGACGCGCGCGGGCCTGCAGGCCACCTGGGCTTACCGTTGGTCACGTGTTACATAGAGGTCTGCGTCTGTGTTCCCTGGCACCCGTGTGATGGTGCTTCCAGGCCAGGCCTGCCGTGTGTCTCTCGCTCCATAGTAAGGGCTGGCTCGACACCCTCTGACGTGTGTTCTGGCGTCTCCAGGCCGGATCCGCGGTTCGTCAGTTTCCAGAAGGAGGGCTCTGTTGGTATCCGATTGACAGGCGGCAACAAGACGGGCATCTACGTGACGGCAGTGCAGGCCAGCTCGCCGGCTGCCGTCCAAGGCCTCCAGCCGGGCGATAAGATCATCAAGGTAACGGCTGACCTCGCCTGCCCCAGCACCGGGCGATGTGGTGGCTCGCAGGCCTGTTTTCCGGGGATTTTCCGATTCGTCGAGAATCCACCACCCAGAGGTGAATTATCTACGCATCGCCCCGCCTCGGCTCGCGATGTAAGCCCATCGATCTAGCCATTTTCATACTTTGCGTCCAGAAAGCACTGGCCTTGCATCCTTTGCGCGAATTCCTGGCGAAATTGGTCTCGAGACTGCACGCTGCATGCGCTGCGCATTTCACCGTACCAGAATGTGGACTGTGCGCTTCCATGTTACCTATTCCATGGCAAATCATCTAGTGTTTTGATCTGCTGCCACTCTCGGGCATGGATTTTCCACAGGAATGCCCTGACGAACTACTGGTTTTTCCAATACCCGTCAAAATGCCGTTTTCTACCTGAAATGTGTCAGTCATGGTAACCGAAAGATTGTGTGAACGCCCTGCCCCTCAAAATTCATACATCAGTGGACGCTCCGGCAAGCTGATGCGGTATTACCTGAAGCCGTCCCTCGCAGGTGAATGGGATGGAGATGAAGGGAGTGACGCGGGAGGAGGCGGTGCTGTTCCTGCTCAGTCTTCAGGACCAGATCGACCTCATCGTGCAGTACAAGAAAAACGACTACGACCAACTCGTAGCTTCACAACAGGGTGACTCGTTCTATATTAGGTGCGGTTACAACATTTTCCGCGCTACTGAGCAAACTGTATGTTATTTTTATTCACTGTATGTTATTATTATTCAGTGTATGTTATTATTCACTGTATGTTATTATTATTCACTGTGTGTTATTATTATTCACTGTATATTATTATTATTCACTGTATGTCACGCGTTTCACGCATGCCAGTGTTCTGTTTGTTTACCTTTCCCTGGCCTCGGTTTATGTCAACTGCTGCTTTGCACAGTTTCTCGTTTGGTTTGTTCATGGTACAAATGTCTGTTTATGCATCGTTGGTAAGCCTGTATCATTGTTCGTAATGGGCATTCGCACAAGCATATACCTTGCCACACCAGAAAAGAAAGCCATGTGTGAGGTAGTGGAGAAGTACAGGGCTCATGACTTTCCACCAGCATGTAAATACAACTGCCTGCGTGCGTGCTCCGCTGCCCGATCGCCTCACCCTCCGAGGACCGCAGCCGATGCTGGTTATGGCAAAGGCACTAGTCCCTTCGAATGAAGTGTATACCTCATTTGGGATTCCATGTTCCAGAACACATTTCAACTACGAACAGGCAAACAAGAGTGAGCTGAGTTTTCGGAAAGGCGATATCTTTCACGTAGTAGACACGCTGAACATGGGCGTGGTAGGAGCGTGGCAAGTGTATAGAATAGGTAAGTGACAGAATTGGGAGATATACAGCGTGGCAAGTGTATAGAATAGGTAAGTGACAGAATTGGGAGATATACACAGGCTTTTCACTGGAATCAGTACTGGGGCTTTTCCCAGCGATATCACTATAACCGGTGTCACCACTTCACAACTGGACTTTCCTCGAATGGAGTGTGAAACATGAGTGTTCTCCATTAAAGGCTCGCGCCGTTTCGGCCAACCAATAACCAATGTCTTAGCGCAAAATATGCACGCATGGCAGAGGTCTTCGGGAACAGCCCAGCCAATGAGGTGAATGCTAGTTCGGAGCTACTTCAGCTGGAAAGAGGTGAGGCACGTTCTCGCCTGTTTTACGTATGATGGCCTCGCCGTTTGCACCATGCCCCTCCACTGACACGAAAGAGCCTCACCAAGCTGCGCTCGCACTCACAGCGGCCGTTCATCCCCTTTCGTCCGCAGGGCGCAACAACGAGGCGACGCAGAAGGGCGTGATCCCTAATAAGTCGCGCGCCGAGGAGCTGGCCACCGCCCAGTTCAACGCCGCCAAAAAGGAGCAGACGTTCAGCGAGGCACGCAGCCGTCTCTTCAGCCGGCGACGGCGCCAGCGGCGCTCCAAGTCGCTCGGCAAGGACCACTGGGAGGACCTGGTGTTCGCCGACTCGGTCTCCAAGTTCCCGGCCTACGAGCGGGTGGTGCTGCGCGCCGCCGGCTTTGTGCGCCCAGTGGTGCTGTTCGGAGCGCTGGCCGATGTGGCGCGCGAGCAGCTGCTCAGCGACCTGCCCGACCGACTGGCATCGCCACGTGAGTGAAGACGGGCCAGGCAGGACGGGACGGGCCAGGTGGGACGGGACGGGTCAGACGGGATGGGACGGGCCAGGTGGGACGGGACGGGCCAGGTGGGACGGGACGGGCCAGGCAGAATGGAGCGATTCAGGCAGGACGGGACGGGCCAGACGGGACGGAACGGGCTAGGCGGGACGGGACGGGACGGGTCAGACGGGACGGGACGTATCAGGCAGGACGAGACGGGTCAGACGGGACGGGACGGATCAGGCGGGACGGAACGGGCTAGGCGGAACGGGACGTTTCAGACGGGACAGGACGGATCAGGCAGGACGGGACGGGGCGGGCCGGGCAGGGCGGGACGGGACGGTAACGGGTCAGACGGGACGGGACGTGTCGGGCGGGACGGAACGGGCCGACCGCACCAGCTAGAGGATGCGGCACGGGTGGGGGTGGGAGGGATCTGCTGCGATGAGAGGAGGGAGTAAGGTCAGCCAGCAGTTTGAGACATTCCTGTGGCCAGGCTACGGCAGTAATCTGACCATAACATGCTGTCAACTCTGCGACTTCTCTGCCACTTTCGTCCAGCGATGCGCAATGTGTCTGTTGTCTCGGGGTGCCTACGAAATTGGCTTGCAGGCTATCTCCCAGCCGAGGCTTGGTGTCATGAGCGTACACCGTCGTCTCACCGTCTCAGTCCTTCTTGCTGGCGCTACAGAGCTGGTGCCGGGCGCCGAGTCCAAGTCAAACGGGTCGGGCATCATCCGGCTGAGCGCCATCCGCGAGCTGGTGGAGCGCGGCCGACACGCCCTGCTCGACGTCACGCCCAACGCCGTCGACCGGCTCAACTACGCCCAGCTGTACCCCATCTGCGTGTTCCTGCGTGCCGAGAGCAAACACGCGATCAAGGAGGCGCGCGGCACCCGCGCGGCCGATCAGTGAGTCGACGTCGGACTGCGGTGGCGCCCCGCGCCGAAGGCTGCTCATACCGCACCGGGACGGCGGTGCCACGGGCCAAGCCGATGTTGGAGGCTTGGGATAATGTGCCGCTGGAGCGCTGTTTCTGAGGATGTATTGGAATGGGTATATGTGCGGGGGCTGTTTGAGTCTAACAAACGTGCCATATCACCGCATACCATTTGCTTTGTGTTGGTGGCATGACTTGGGCTTTCGGGCATTCTTAATTCTTAATCAGTTTTTAATCGAATTGTCGCTCACTGTTAGCCCATTGAAGAGGCGGCGTACGATGAAATTTCGTTCCATTGTCAGACTAACAAGCATCAAAGCATGTTGTGAAACGCAACTATCCTTCCATATTTTCACACAGTTACCTGCTGGTCTGTCCTGTTTGGTAGTCTCTGAGGTGTCTCAGAGACCGATAGTCCAGGATACTGACCTGCATTTTTTTATACTTCCGATGATGGACTTCGTTTTATTTGTTATCTGGAAACATTCCTATTGTTATACAGCGAACCGTATCCTCCTCCTCATTTATGCCATGTGTGAATGGCTTTTTACACAGTTTGTATCTACTTAGACATTTTCGGTCTTGTTCATCTGCCGTACGGAGGAAAAAAGCTCATGTGCATGTTAACAACTTTTTAGGGGAGAGCTCTGACGATTTTCCGTTATATCACGCTATTGGTTGGTGGTGCATACCTGAATTACATGTCATCAAATACGTCACATTAAGGTGAATCACTCTATGCACTGTTTTACCCACCTTAACTTATGAACTTCACAGAAATTCAGGAAATATTTTTATATTTTGACGCATGTAGCAACAAACGTGACTTCCGCAAGGTAAAAAAGCGCAAATGCAATGGATAATGTCAGAAAAGCGTAAGTTCGGTAGTGTATGCAAAGAAAAAGCATAAGTGCTGACATATTCTTTATTCTCATGGTAAGGAGTGTATTTTAGGGCAGGTGAGGGCAGTCTCAAATGCATACAAAGCTCATGGTTCGAAGCAGTAACTAAAACTTGCGCTGACTTTCGTTGTAGATTGGCTGGAATTTGATGACCTATAGCAACAGGCTTAAGCGTAGGGAGAGCAAACTCATGGGAATTGACCCGACTTCAAAGTGGATGGTATTTGGGCTATCTTCTGGAGCATCATGGACCGCATCCTCCACACCTACCCTGAAGAGATCAAGGACGTGGTAGACTGTGGCTGAGCGACGTCGAGAAAAAAACGCAATTGCAGGCATGTGTTATTTATGAATTAAATCGGCGGAGAGAAGAAAGAACGTACGTTTTTCCGCAGCACGCATCACGTAGGTTTTTACGTTGCAGTATTATAAACACCTGCACTTGCGCCTATATTTGAAACAAAAAATTGCAATTTTTGGGTGATTGAGGCCGATGTTGACATATATTTTTGGGGATGATTGCAAATCTGAAAATGCAAAAACCCGAAAAATGGCAAACATTGCACTTGAGCCTTACTTCCTTTGCACGGTAGCCATTATGTGGCTGGACGGCATCGAGAAAAAAGAGCGCGTGGAGACACGTGCTTGTTATCGCAATGGAGATACAGCGTTGGTTTGTTTTTCCGATGAAATCACTTGTTCAATGTCTCTCCAGGTCTCACCACAAGTCCAGCAAGAAGATATACGAGCAGTGCATGAAGCTGGAGAAGCTGTGGTCGCACTTATTCACGGTCACCGTGACCATCGCCGACGCCGACAGCTGGTATCGCAAGGTCAAAGAGCTGATTGACAAACAGCAGAACGCACCCATCTGGATGTCGGAGACAAAAGTAAGAATAAAGAAGTTTAGCAAAGCCCACCCTGCACATCTGAAATCGTATCTCGCCCAGATGGAGCTGCATTTTTTATTAGGCTGGTGGCGGATGAACTTTGGATGCGCATAAGAAAGGTGCTTCCGTACCATCCGCTATCGATGCGCTTTTGGTACCTGGGGTCGTCGCATGGCTAGGCCAGGACCGCCTATTGTTTCGGTGTGGTTCTAAGCGGTGCAGGTGGCGGGGATGCGGTACTGGGGGCGGTTTTAGCGCTGCACAATGGTTGCGTTGCAATTTATTGTTTGATATTTGAGACAAGTTGATATGAGAGACAGTTTAGTATAGGCGGCATGTCGTGCTTTCGTTTGCCTGCGCCACGAAACATGGTGAAGCTTGCAAGGCGGTCTGCTTCATCTCAAATAGCAGGTGATGGCGGCCGCTCTCCAATTTCAGCCGATCGAGATGTGCTCGGACATCTTCCTGCTGCCCACCTCTGAGGACCCGTTCCTGCAGCCCCACTTCCAGCCCGGGCCGTCCCCGCCTCCCGCACCACTGGGGCGGCCGCCTGCACCCGAGCTGCCACCCCCGGTGCCCCCTCCGCCGCTGCCACCTCAGCCGCTCTCGTACTACGACACGCTGGCCGAGGAGCTGGATTCGACCCTGCGTCCGCTGCCCGTGTACCGCGCCCGCCCGCTGCCGCCGCCCCTGTCGCCGCCGCCGCTGCACGACATGGCGCCGCCTCTGCATGACCGCACGTTCGACTCGGAGTCCGTGTACATCTAGCCTGGCCCGCTCGCCCTCGTGCCTCGTCGTGTCTGGGTCGTCGCGGTGCACAGTCTCTGCTGTGTGTCACCCCTGTGCTGTGTGTCACCCCTGTGCTGCTGTGCTCTACTGTCTGGCATGTGTGTGTATGCGTGTGCGTGTGCGTGCGTGCGTGCGTGCGTGCGTGCGTGCGTGCGTGCGTGTGCCTTCGTGTGTAGCCTTTAATGTATGGTTTGTCCGGTTTGGACGACTGTTTCTGACCTCGTCTCTGACCATTTTCGATCTTCCTGGACGGACTGGCCGGTCACAAGGTGCCAGATTACCAAAATGTTCACACCCGAACCGGCCGTTTCACTGCGCAGCCTTGTATGCATACCCTGAACCTAGTACGAAGCCCTCAAGTTCAAGATGTATCTGGAATGATGAATGTACGTCCTGAGCAAATCATATACCACATAATCCTCCCCGGAAGCCGTTATATACCTCGACGCTTAGAGTTCTGCGTGCTCGCGCTCCTGTGCGTGCGTGTGTGTGTGTGTGTGTGTGTGTGTGTGTGTGTGTGTGTGTGTGTGTGTGTGTGTGTGTGTGTGTGTGTGTGTGTGTGTGGTGTGTGTGTGTGTGTGTGTGCCGCGCGCGCGCTCTTGTGTCCTGTAGATACGCCTGCTATGTGCGCCTCGGTCTGCCCTGGCGTCTCCGCCTGCTCTCACGTCTGGCGCCCGCCTCTCTCCCCGCCTCGCCTGCGGCGCCGCGCAGCCCGGCGAGTCGTTTTCGGACGACTTCCTGTTCCCGATGACGGCGCGGCTGTCGTACGCCTCGTCGCCCGAGTCGGACCCGGAGGGGGCTGAGGCATCGCCGGGCCGGGCGCCGCTTGTCTCGCCGGCCGCCTCCGACCCGCACCTGCTGCGGAGCGCGTCCGACCCGAGCCTGGGCGCCGAGGAGCTGCCGCCGCCGCTCGCCGCGCTGCCCGGCCCGCCGCCCTACTCCCCGCACCAGGTGAACTGGCGTGTCAGGTGCCGAGTCCCGCTGCTGCCACGCCCCCAGCACTGAGCGGGTTGTTTGCTTACGCTTCCAGGTCTAGGCGTTACATGGGGTTTGCACCGTTCGGCGTGATGTGATGACGCATGCAGGTATACGCCTGAAATTTGTGTATGCGTCTGCTGCTCCCTGGTCATGTGCCAGGAAACTTTATAGTGTAGTTAACTCATATACCAAGACATTGCTTAGTCGTTTCAATAACATTGTCCGCATTTATGTGTAAAGACCCGATGCAGTGTGCCGTCGCACGGCCTCCGCATGTCTCCCTTGCTCTCACGGCGAGTGTGGCATCCGCCGAGCGCGCGTCTCAGCCAGTGGCGGCGGAAGGTCCTTAGTGAATGCTAGAATACTAGAGGAAATCTGGTGTTAAGTGGTTTCTTTCCATGCAGCGTCATTGGATTAACTGTTTCCCCTCTTGCGCGGATGGCTGCTTTCTCCACTGGCCCGTTAATGCGTCGTTGCTGGTGCCAGGAGGACGCGCCGCGGCCGGTGGGCCAACGTCACTCGCACGGCGGCGACAGTCGGTACGGCTTCTCGTCAGCGCGGTACGCGGCCGAGGAGGCGCACCAGTCGCCGCTGCACCACTCACCGGCCGAGCCGCGCCGCCGGCCGGCCGCCAGTCCGCCCGGCTCGCCGGGCTCGCCCGCCTCGCCCTGCCAGACGCTGCAGCACGACTTCCGTGGCGGCGGCGACCCGGTACCGCCGCGTACCGCATACGAGCATTCGCCGTACCGGGCGCTGCCGGCCGAGCGGCCGTCGCCGCGGCGCGGCCCGCCGCTGGAGCCGGCGGCGCTGCAGGACCGGCATCACCGCTCCTCGCTGCAGGACCACCCGCCGCCACACCGGACGGCGATCCAGGAACGGCCGCCGCACCACCGCACGTCGCTCCAGGACCACCCGCAGCCGCACCGAACCTCGCTGCCCGAGGCGCCACCCAAGGTGGACCGTAGCAGCAAGCCCGTCTCGGCCGTGGTGGGCACGCGCAGCTACGGCCGCGCATCTGGTGGCCAGATGAGGAACTACCTGGACCGCGATGACGTTAACTACATGAACGCCGGCAAAAATTACACGCTGGACAGGCTAAAGTCGGTACGTGTGCAGTAACAGGAGGTCATGCTTTTGTATGGATGGGAGTAGGCAAGGTGTTTGCATTTTGCATGTACTTGTAATTAGTTTCTAACACCCGTCCGGAAAACACATGCTTCTTTATCAGACGCATTCAAATAATCTGTGCCCGTTTCCAGAGCCATTACGACAGCACGTCGTCGTACGAGTCTTACAACCGCCTGAACAACATGCACGACGACCTGAAGGCGCGCTCGATGCCGCTGGAGCCGCGCGAGACGGGCTCGCCGCCCGGCTACGGGCCGCGGCCGCACGACCCGTACCGGTTCACTCGCAGCACAGCCCAGCCGCTGCGCTCGCCGGACCGGGAGCCGGGGCCGCGCGGCCTCAGGTGGGTCGGGCGCGCGTCCTCGGGGCAGGTGGTGGGCTGGGGCGGCGCGTCCGCCGCCGAGCGGGCCGTGACACTGCAAGTCGGCTGTCCAGAGGTGTGACGTAACTGCAGCTGTGACGTGACCGTGACGACTGGGTCGTGTTTGTCTCGGCAGCGGACGGAACGACTACAAGCTGATGCCGCCGCCGAAAAGCGGCCCCACCTACAAGCCGATCCCGCCGCCCAAGCCGAAGGGCGGCCGCGGCGCGCCGCCGCCGACCGGCGAGGCGCACCGGCGGCCGGCTGGCGCGCCCGACTCTCCGCTGCGCAAGACGCCCGACTCGCGCGGCAGCCGCGAGGACTTCGCCGGCTACCTCACCAACGGCGACGACGGCGGCGGCTTCGACTCCGGCCATGGCTCCAGCCTTGACCGCAACTGCGACCTGGCCGGTCGCACCTACATGAACATGAACGTGAAGCCGGCCGGCGCGCCCGGGTACTACCTGAACGCGCCGCCGCCGGGGTCGGCACGTGAGCCGCCGCAGCCCGGCGGCCTGGATCTGAGCACGCGCGACCAGCGCGGCAGCGCGTTTGAACTGTACCGTAAGCCGGCCGACTCGAGGTACCCCGCCTTCCCGGACGGTGCGAGGTAAAGGCCTCAGACGCGGCCGGCCCGAGGTATCCCGCCTTCCCGGACGGCGCGAGATAAAGGCCTCAGACGCGGCCGGCCCGAGGTATCCCGCCTTCCCGGACGGCGCGAGGTAGTGGCCTCAGACGAGGCCGGCCCGAAGTATCCCGCCTTCCCGGACGGCGCGAGGTAAAGGCCTCAGACGCGGCCGGCCCGAAGTATCCCGCTTTCCCGGACGGCGCGAGGTAGTGGCCTCAGACGCGGCCGGCCCGAAGTATCCCGCCTTCCCGGACGGCGCGAGGTAGGCCTCAGACGCGGCCGGCCCGAAGTATCCCGCCTTCCCGGAGGCGCGAGGTAAAGGCCTCAGACGCGGCCGGCCCGAAGTATCCCGCCTTCCCGGACGCGCGAGGTAGTGGCCTCAGACGCGGCCGGCCCGAAGTATCCCGCCTTCCCGGACGGCGCGAGGTAGTGGCCTCAGACGCGGCCGGCCCGAAGTATCCCGCCTTCCCGGACGGCGCGAGGTAGTGGCCTCAGACGCGGCCGGCCCGAAGTATCCCGCCTTCCCGGACGGCGCGAGGTAGTGGCCTGAGGCGAGGCCGGCCCAAAGTATCCCGCCTACCCGGACGGCGCGAGGTAGTGGCCTCAGACGCGGCCGGCCCGAAGTATCCCGCCTACCCGGACGGCGCGAGGTAGTGGCCTGAGGCGAGGCCGGCTCGCGGTCGGCGCTGCAGCGTCTCGGAGGCGACCGGAGGGAGGGAGCGCGACTCTGCGGCGGTGGCATGTTGACGTGTTGTCGGATACGAGGCTGACGGTGGCCCACCGTTGAGGAGACCTCCGTTTGACCTCAGCAGGCGTGCTGCGACATGTTTAATTGTTTTAATGTGATCGCTATGTGGCCCCATTTGTATTTTATGTCATGGGACAAATTATGCAAGATAATTGCTTGTCACTGCAAGTCATATAGTTATTGCATTTTCATGGCGTCTGCTGGCGTGACCACATATTGTTCTATCATGAGAATCAATACATCGCAGTCCTGAACAGGGATCCCCACCAAGGGACACAGGCCTTTGCGAGTTTCTACGGACATCTGACGCGGTTCTTAACGCGCGCACACCAACCTCCCAGCCTATCCCATTCCCAAGCTCGATATTTGCGCGCGACGTTCCGACCCCAGGCAGATTTTACGCGCGCTGATTCTGCGTTATCCCGATTTTGCAATAAACCCTTTGCCAATCTACAAGCAAAAAAGAACAAAAGCGATGGGTCGTGGCAGGCCACCCGAGATCCAGGCTTCATAGACTCCTCAGGTGCACCTATTGCCTTATTGCTTCCTGTGGATGGCCACATCCATTGGGTTGTTGTGATTCTCCTCGCGGCGCTCCCCACCCCGTCCACGGACCAGGCACACCGCGGCGCTTCCCACCCCGTCCACGGACTAGGCACACCGCGGCGCCCCCCCCCCCCCCCCCCACCCCGTCCACGGACCAGGCACACCGCGCCGCTCCCCACCACCCCGTCCACGGACCAGGCACACCGCGCCGCTCCCCACCACCCCGTCCACGGACCAGGCACACCGCGCAGCTAATATGAATTCGTTGCGTTGCCGAGCGCAGGCCTGCTTCAAGGGACATTCAAACAAGCACCTACATACCAGGCACGTGATGGCCGGCAGGTACGGTGCCGTCGACCAGGATGGCTGTGTGCTACAGCATTGTGTTTCAGTCAGGTTTAAAAACGGTTTCCCTTCAGAGCCATTAGCTACCTTCCGAACGCTATCTTCAACACGCAGCCACAAGCGCCAGGAGCGCGTACTGTGATGGTGCGTGGCAGTTGGGGGCCCACCCCTTCAACGTCTGCATTTCAGCTGGACCTTCTCAAGCAGAAGGGAACATAGCGCAGTCGGCGGGAGCAATGGTTCGGGTCTCCGCAGCATCTAAACATTTTTCTCACGGTTCCGTTCTGCCCCCAGGAAACAATTGCCAACCACCCGACTCATGCGGCACTGATTGGATCGTGGTTCTTGAAGCTACAAACATCTGTTTTCAAAACAGCTCGGCTGTATATCGTCACCTCACACAGACACGGCAGAGCTATGCATTTCCACATGTGTACAAAAATAACACCAATGTACATCTCATTTTTGTGCTGACATTTCACGTACTTTGACAATACCAACTAAACGGCAGGAAACGGAGCATAGGAGCATGCTCAGCGCCGACATTTTATAGGGACGTGACGCAGCGACGACAACGAGCAGACGCAGCTGTCCACACGGCCTTTATCTGTGGTTTCTACGAATCTGTTTGTCCTTATCCGTACTGATTCTTGTGTCATGGCATCGTGCATTTTTACAACAAACGGAACTAAACAGCAAGACATGGGACACGACAGCATGTTTTGCGCCGACATTTTATAGAGCAATGGCACAAAGCTTTGATGCAAGCTAGTCTACAAGACTGTTTAACGGGACTTTATCAGCGGTAAATATTGTCTCGTCGTAGGTGATATACTAGTCTGCCTATGGCGCACATCCGGAATATGTCCAAATATATGTCCAGCTGAATCCGGTGTCTTGGCTTTGCCCCTCAAGCAACACACTTGCATACACATGTGAAGAGGAACGATCCAGTAAGTGAAAAAATGCAACAACACACAACACCTTATCAGACAGTGTAATTCATGCAACACAGGTAGCCCATTCCATCACAGCGTTCGAAAACGGCGAAGATCCTGCAGGCTCAAACTTGGCAAATCACATGATGGCAGAGCACAAACACAACGCGTATGCGTAACAACTTAAAGCATGCCGGTGGGCATCTTTTGTGAAAAAGTGATCGATTAAGCGCGTCAGCGCAGACAATCTACGCCAACTCTGAATAACGCAGCAAAGCTGTAGACACTGCTATCTCATTAACAGGCAGATCAGTTCCATACTAAAGCTGGTGCCATGCATGGGTTCTGAACAACAACACATTATTACACAGGAATCGGCAAATTGCTTCCAACAGGTTTACTGATCAAGGGCATACCGCTGGGTACACTGAGGGCTCCACCACACACAGCCAACTGCTCGCTTCTTGCACCCAGACTACAGGACGGACCCTGGCCCTTTAAAACCAGCCAAGACTCACGAAACTTCAATCGACCAATCACCAGCGGCGTCCAGCTCGCTCGCGAGCACGTCAGGATCCTCCAGTGTAAAGCTGACGGTCCTTCAACGCTGGCACCGACGTCGACAGATCAACAGTATTTCCCGAACTTAATGGGCATCTAGCATCTACCATCATCACACACCATGCGCGCCGCCTCTATCAAGGTCGTCATGGTTTTGTACCGATGCGTTACGCTTTGAGACCAGCGCTTCGGTGCCTCGTCACATGACGCGTTGTTACATGACCGCAAGCTCAGCTCTCGCGTACGTGGCTTACCGACAGATCATACCCAGTCTAACCGGACTGAACAGAGGATTCTGTGGCATCAGTTACGGTCTTCACGCGACCGGGCAAAGCAGCACCCCGGAGACCAGGCAGAAGAACCCCAGAGGCCCAGCAAAGCAACTCCTACAAAACCAGCTCAGGTCTCCCGAGGCGTGGCATAGGTCCTCCCAGACTCAGAGCAGAGGTCCTCCCAGACTCAGAGCAGAGGTCCTCCCAGACTCAGAGCAGAGGTCCTCCCAGACTCAGAGCAGAGGTCCTCCCAGACTCAGAGCAGAGGTCCTCCCAGACTCAGAGCATAGGTCCTCCCAGACTCAGAGCACGGACCTCCCAGACTCAGATCAGAGGTCCTCCCAGACTCAGAGCATGGACCTCCCAGACTCAGAGCAGAGGTCCTCCCAGACTCAGAGCAGAGACCTCTTCGAAACCCACCAGAATGACGCCCCAAGACTAACCGCCCACCCAACCTCGGAATGCAACCTAAGGCTTCCACGAGACCCAACTGAGAGACCCGTTTGGGACCCGGCAACGCGTATCCTCGGGGCCCAAGAGCGGGACCCACGAAACTCAGCTGAGGGTGTGTCAAATCCAGCGGAGGGACGAGCTGAACCCAGCGGAATGACGTGCCAACCCCAGCGGAGGGACGTGCCGAGACCAGCGGAGGGACGTGCCAAACCCAGCGGAGGGACGCACCGAGTTCTGGCGGAGTGTTTAGAGCCGCCGCGTGATCCCGCCAGCCGGCTCCCGCCCGCCGAGCTCACGCTCTCCTCTGGTGAAGTCCCTCCCCGAACAGCGATTGGACGAAGCGTCTGTACTGAAGTAGTGACTGGCTGCGACGTCAGCCGAAAGGCTTTGATTGGCGAATATGTTCGTGGACACCTCACCATTCACACGCAAACGCAGGCTCGCGCTGCCATTAGCTTGGGGGTCGACAGCGTTGCCACCATTGGTTGGCCATCCGGTGGCGGTTTCACAGTGAGCAGCGGCATCTGATGTCAGATCGACTGGCACTGGCTTCCGAAGAGGGGGGAACAGCTTCGGCACCAGCAGAATCATGACTACGCAGGCGATGTGAACAACGAAGTAAAAACTCCTGTGGACGGCAGAGATATGCCGTTACCGAGGAAAACGTCACGCTTCTTTTTCCTTACATACCAGCTTGTATTTCTGATGTCGTCCACGGAAAAAGCTTTCCAAAACTTGCTCATGAAATCTCCGAGAGACTGTGTACCATGAAGAGGCGCCGTCAAAGAACAAAGACAACACGCCCTGTACTTGACGACACTCAACGCACTCTGAAACCTGCAGAAGCATCACAAGAGTCACCGTGCCGACACCTGGCCCAGCAGCACCGCCACACCCCAGTCCTGGTAACGGCGAACCAGCGGTCCGGCGCTCTTCTCACCGGTAGACGACCAGGGCCATGCGCAGATCCAGCAGGGCGAACGGCAGCTCGATGTAGACGACGCAGAGGTGGGTGGCTAGACGACCAGCCAGCTCGTACCAAGGGCACAGCCAGGGCACGTGCTGTACCCGGGGCCACAGGCAGCGGTGGGCCTGGGGAGCATGACGACACGCACTCATTCTCCCGGTCCCACTGAATCGGGCAGCACACCCATGTGCAACACACTCATTAACGCCTCGAACGCTCCTTAAAACTGTACACATTGTACACTCCCGCACCCGCACCGAGCGCGGCGCTTGCCATATAGCTGGTGGGCTTCAGCCTCCCTCCAACGTTTCTCAACTTTGACATTGGTCCTCAGGATTTTGTGCAGGAATAGGCGACTGGACCCCAGCGTGCTCCGCCAGTCATCCTGAAAAAGGTCAGCCCCGGAGCATCACACGCACTGGGGCCAGACCCCTCGCCAAAGGGCTACTTTTCGCCAGGGGCGGAAATGACGGGGACGCGTCCTCCGTGGCATTGCCATGTCACTACATCCCTCGCGCAATGAGAAAGGGGACCTCCCCTTTATATATCACTGAGTACGTATATATACTTATATATACCATATATTCTAAGTACTACGGCTATAGTGAGGCTATACTTACATATATACTAAGTAAGTATATGTAAGTATAACCAGCCCTTCAAGACTGCTCTGGTACATGATTCGAGGAAGTCAGCAGAGCACCGTGTTCCTGTGACTGCAGCTTCACTGCAGAATGCCAAACATGTAAAGGTCTAATCGAGGGCACTATAGGTTCATACGGAGGCACTACACTCTACAACAGCACTGCGCCGGCACAACCGCCCGGAGCCCAGTGATCCAGAGCGTTACTGCTGGGGGCACGGCCTTGACCTCACCCGCAGCGCCACAGCACCACCGGCAGCTAACAACTAACCTGCCGCAGCAGCGTAGGGCGACTTAACCCTTACAAACGCGTCTTGTCACAGCACCGCAAGCCGCCGCTTCCTGCGTCACACCGCTGTCAAATTGGCCACACTCGCAAACCCAGCCAGGCATCTATCAGCACGACCACCTGAGCCCAGACCTGGCCCCGGCCCGTCCTGGCATTGTCCACGCCCGGCGCCGCCCGGTGCTGTCAACTGACCGTGCGGCCCGCCTGCGTGCAGAGGGCGCCCGTGGCGAACGTCAGGTAGTAGACGGGGTGGAAGCCGTGCCAGACGGCGCTCAGAGCGTACACCAGCGCCGTGCGGTGGCGGCGCGTCCGCTCGTACACCACCAGCCGCAGCCACCGGTGCGTGTGCACGTTCCATCCCTCCAGCACCTCGCGGAAGTTGACGCCCCACTGCGGGCAGGATGACATGAGATCACGCTGGGCTGTGCGCACCGGTGGCGGCGTCACGCGGTCACGCCCAAGACAGAGCTGCGCGGCGTGGGTCAACACGGCGGATGATGCCGATGGCCAAGGGCTTGTTCCTTTGGAGTTTGTCTATGTAGTTATTTTTGCGTAAAAAATACAATGGCGGCCGCTGTTACGATCTGGACAGGTCTGTACCCCAGAGCTGTCATACCATCACACCTGTCATGACAGCCTGGAAATTATGTGTGAGAAGACAATAATATTGGCCATTCCTGCGGACTGTTCCGCGGCATCCCCATCAAAAGAGCATTCAACCTTTTTGTACTTTTCACTCCTGGTTGAACCAGACGCGTCCACTTTGATCGCTGATGCCAGTTTTCTAAAAATATTTCTGAATGAGTTCATGATCTCTATTTAAAGCAGCCGCTCGGATAGGAGAAATGCCATAGGACTCCCTCCACACCAATATGAAAGCAAACGTTTTCATTTGCTTTGCTTTTTCCGAAGCATGTCTTATGTACTGTTGTCAATGTACTAATTGACTGAAGTGTTTCTTCAATAAATGCTACAGAAGTTTGGAGGAGCTGAGTTGTATGAAACTAAATCCAAAATTGAGGCCGCTACACGCGATCTCAATGTGACGTCATAAGATGGCTTTGATTTTCCCCTATGATGTTGAGTACAGCGGTGCTTTTCGAAACACACTTTGGCTCTGGGAAACAGACGCATCACATGGCCTATAGTAACGTGCTGGTTCAAACTTACATTTGCAAACGCGTTTCGGGACAAACGAGTTACGCCGCCCATTGCGTCAAGCACTAACATTCATTTGTACCGACGTCACCCATGCCAGCAGAGATCATACTTTTAACTCCGCAGACACGCAGTATGCGGGTTAAAAGAGCTCAAAAGTAGCATCTCTCAACCGTAGCGGTTGACCCAGGGCCACACTCCGGGGCTGTAAAGAAAAACAAAGAAGTGCAGTGCTGTGACAAAACATTGACTGCGACATTTACACTCGAAAATAATCTAAATCAATCTGCTTGTTATGCCCTGCTATTACTTCAGTGGTACCATACGGTGCTATTATTGGACATAACTGGCCTTGAGATTTCACCACAGTATGTTTTTAAAATATGCCTCGGGGATGGCACACTCCCTTTAACAGGCGCCATCTAGGTTAATCCCACTCATTCCGTCCATACGTCTTACTCTTCCCGGGCTGCGCAGTTCAGAATCAAAATGGCAGTCCCTCCCCCGGGCGCAGCGTACCTCCACCTTGCTGACGAAGACGTTGGAGACGGCGTTCCAGCGTTGGCGACCTTCCAGCGTCAGGCCATTGAAACCAAGGCCGGAGGCGTTACAGTTGGCGTCCGCCATCAGCCAGACAGTGTAGTATTTGGAGCGGACCAGCGCGCAGACCAGCAACACATACCCCCAGCGCAGCGGCCACCACCAGCGCTGGTACTCCTCGGCTGGCGGCAGCACGTGCACCCGTCTGAATGTGCAGGTGCAGCCCGGTCCGGCCGGGCTGGGGGAGCGCGCCGCATGACATAGTCTCAGGCGCAGCTGGAAACACTCCCCATCACTGGTCATCCCACTGCGGTTTACAGCAATGGTGAAATCTCGCACCAGCTATGCAAAGGTTGGCAAATTCTCCGTCTACCTCTCAGTGCCTACACGCTACAAGCAAGCACAAAACTTCTAGTGATAACTCCGTCTGGAATAAATAAAGAACATCATGCTGCGTATTACAGAAATGCCAACAGAGCCCCCCTGGTGGAGATCTCCGGAAGTGTAACTATTTAGCTGCCATCATATTTCCTGCCAGGCGTAGTTGACTCAGCAACACACCCTCACTCACCTCCAATGAACGAGAGGGGAAACCGGGGCACCAGAATCGCTATGCACAGTGCGAAGAAGACCGCGGCCGCCATCTTTCTCGTGACCGCAGGCACGGGGTCAGGGGTCATTAGCCTCGGAGCGCCGCCAGTGGACTGCAGCAGAATCCCCCGAGCGCAGGCAGGTCACACATGCGTCAGGCAGATTGTGACTCAGCTTGGGAAGGGTGGCTGTTGCCTTGACTTCATTTGCAAGCGTTTACAACAGCCAGGCTACCGACAAAAACTCAGTACCAAGTAACAATGTGACGAAGCCTCGTGATTGGCTCGTTACATGTAGCCCGACTTATTCACATTCTGATGTGCAGTATACGGCTGGATTGGCACGACTCAATAACAACAGCTACCAATGCACATTTGTCGGCTGCTGCCCGACTCTCACCTGCGCTGGGATCTGCACTGAGCAGGGGCCTTGCTCTATGAAGTCTAGATATGTTCGAAAATCAAGCATCGGTCCCGCAAAGAGGGTCGGGAAATTGAAAAAGAAGCCCAGAAATTCCACCAGCGATGGCAGTCTCCTAAAAAGAACAGGGTCAAGGGTGAACAAAGCATTATTCGAAGGCTCTGGCAAACGCAGAGGCTCGCAGATATCTCGTAAACTCGCGTGCTTGATGCTAAACGCCAACTATGCTACGATTTCCTCCTTATCTGATATGCGTGTGAGACTACGACGCAAATGATGGAGTTACATCGGTGGTGAAATAAACAACATCGAAGAAAACTACAGTGAACGGGGCGGGCTAAGCGCAAACACTCCACGTGCTATCCCCGGCTCATCTTTTTTACCTCAGGGCCAGCCGAGGTCACAAAGACGCGTGGCTTACCAATGAGCCCACCAGTTCGATGTGGATTTCGTACTTATACCACGACGTGCAACTCCTTGAATCCCGAGGTCCCAATTGGAGAAACCCCGTTCCGAAAAGGGAACACAGATGAATGCGTTGTAAGCATGTAGTATGCAGACATGTCAACAGACTGCATGCTAACACAGTAACAACTGTTACTCCCGCTATTTAGTACGACTTTAACTTCTACACCGCCGACCGCGCTGTCCGCTACGGCGCCAAAGCCCCTGGTAGTCTTTGAGCACACAGGAGCTGGTTTTTGAATTTTGGTTTCTCTGATGTTTTTTGAGGACTGCTGGCGTTTTGGTGCCCTTCGAACCTCTTCACGCCTCCTTGAGGCCAATGATGCGCTCTGATCCAAAAATGGATTTAGTCCTACAGGTACTTTGAACACCAACCACGCCTTCGTGGGTCCTCATGCCGCTTTTCACGCATGAACTTTTGTAGTTACGTTCTTCATAAGCTCTTCTCGTTTCATGGGTCCTGCCACATTGGGGGCTTTTTCACGTCGCGAATTACGGAGCCACAATAACGAACGTGCAAAACACGGGGCCAGATAAAAGCAGAGGATCGTGTATCGTGTCACTGAGAGCCCGTTAACATGACGACCATGATCACGTGCTAGACAGGGGGATTTAGTACAGCCAAAGAACGCTCCGCTCCGCATACAGCACATATCGACACAGCACGTATTGCAGCAGGCTCATGTGTAGTCAAGGAGAATCACAGTACACAGAGTTCAAGCACGAGGCACACATCTAATGTGATGACTGGTCCTCCGGCGTGCCACGCGCCTGATCAGCATCACCAGCAGCGGGATCTCACCGGATGGCCAGCCGCCGCAGCTCCGGCTTGGCCTCCAGATCCAGTTTACAGAAGGGACTGCCGTCGTGAATGTTGAAAGCCAACAGCGTGACTTTCATGGTGCTGACCATGACCGGACCTGGGGGAGGGACGGGTTAGGGGTAACAGGCCGGCAGATCACCATCCGGTCCTACCGATCGCCACATCCAGTCCAAGGCGATGCCAGGCATTGCCCGTTTCCACGGGCGTCGGCTGAACTCTGGCCGGGCTCATCAAGAATATCGACAGGGTGCTAGTAAGAAGGTACAGCGCTGAATATGCGTGTGACAAAATCATATCTAAGTGGCAAATTCCTCACCTAAAAAAAACAGGTAGATCCTCCCGGTTATATAGTTAATGTGGACAACTGTTGTAATGATTGGTTAATCCATTGAAGTCTTATTTCATTAATTCAATTCAAGTTATTCAGTTATGATTATCATTGACTTTTAAAAGTCTCAACGAAAGTGCATTTCCAAAAATAGGCTCCGTTTAGCTGTCGTGAAAGGAACTACGTGGTGGAGCACAGACTTCTATTTTTCAAGCTAAAATTCAACCCATCTTTTGCACACAGAGGTTGCAGCGCGATACCTTGTCTGGTTTTGAGATACAGTGCGATTTCGAAGGTCTATTTTGCACATTGCTTGGAACTTTCTTTTGGTTTCGACAATGGTTTGCAAGCCGCAGGTGCCATCAGGGAGCAGCAGAGTTCTGTTATCGGATTCCTGACCGTGCAGGAGAGGGCATGTGTGATTCACAAAGAGCTGTACCAAGTTTGTGGCGGTCATGTGGCGGTTAGTTTGTGGCGGTCATGTTTGGGTTTAGGGGCGCCTCGACGGTCTCGGTCATTTCGCACCAACAGCTGTGTTACCTGATTTTCATATGATAATCAGAATCAACTATGGCATCAGCTATGACATCTTTTCCGCGTCAAGGGTGCGCAGGTGGGCCCAGGAATCCGAGGAGCGTAGGGAGAGCGTGCGGGACTTCCCACGCCCCGGGAGAGCCACAGCGCAGACGGAGCCTGCCTTCGTGGCTCGAGTGGAGGGCAGGATAACGGAATATCGCCGTGTGACGATCGACCCGATGGCGCAGTGCCTCGGAATGGCCTGTCAAACTGTCCGCCGTATCATTCCTGATCATTTAAAGATGTCAAAGTTGCCTCTAACTGGGTGATGACACAGCTGCCGCGTGAGCACAACGAGAGGCCAAGTTAGTACAACAGGGACTGCAGTGTACCAAGAAGAGATAGATCGGTTTGTTCAATGAATTGTCACACCAAACGAAAGCTGGTTTCCGCTGTTAAGCCCGGGGATCAAGAGTCATATGCAGTGAAAACGCACAGACCAAAGACAGTCGACGCAGTGAAAACGCAGTCCCCACCTCCTCAAAAACCGCGAGCCGACGTCCTCCGAAAAGTTGATGCATGCGTTATTTCGGGACCAGGGGGAAGTGCTAGCCTTCACAGTTTTTAAGGATAGCAGCATCACAAGCGAGCTGCACGAAACAATCCTGAGCAAACATCTCCCTCCGGCTAACGACAAGCACCGCCAGAAACAACAAGGGGCCGTTTCATTCTTAACCACCAACGTCCCTGCCCCCCTCCCCCTACCACCGCGCCGATGTCATGACTGGCACTCTCGCTGATGACAGTATCGAACTACTAAAGCAACCTCCGTGCTGCCCGGCTCTCAGCCCACGTGACTTCCGGTTGTTCCTTCAAATGAAAATCCCCATCGTCGGCGCCGGCTCCAATCGCCGGCGCCGCCTCCCATGGCGAGCGACGCCCCCCCCCCCCCCCCCCATCGTCGGCGCCGGCTTCCATCGTCGGCACTGGCTCCCATCGTCAGCGGCGGCTCCCATCGTCGGCGCCGCCTCCCATGGCGAGCGACGCCCCCCCCCCCCCCATCGTCGGCGCCGGCTCCCATCGTCGGCGCTGGCTCCCATCGTCAGCGGCGGCTCCCATCGTCGGCGCCGCCTCCCATGGCGAGCGACGCCCCCCATCGTCGGCGCCGGCTCCCATCGTCGGCACTGGCTCCCATCGTCATCGGTGGCTCCCATCGTCGGCGCCGCCTCCCATGGCGAGCGACGCCCCCCATCGTCGGCGCTGGCTCCCATCGTCAGCGGCGGCTCCCGTCGTCGGCGCCGGCTCCCATCGTCGGCGCTGGCTCCCATCGTCAGCGGCGGCTCCCGTCGTCGGCGCCGGATCCCATCGCGGTCCGCAATGTGATAAGCTATACTTCAGCACGGCAAACCTATTCCATTCAGAGCCTCGCCGAGACTATGAAACGCCTGGCACGCCGCTGGGAGTGCTGCATTAAAAAGCAGGGAAAATACGGAAAATACATCGGTGATGAGTGCACGCCAATAACTGCGTTGTCTACGGGCATGCAAAACCAGGGAGCTAGAATCGCTTTTGAACTAGGGTGAGAGTAAAAAATTCCATCGCAAAAAGACCGTACGGGAGTGAAAAATCAATTCACAAAAGATGGAGTTTATGAGCTCGTGGCTGATGTTTCAGCAAACAAAGACATCTATTTCAAGTTGGCATGGACGTAATATCAGGAACCTGACAAAACTATTTCGTATTTAACATCTTAGGCCATTAAAGTGAAACAGAATATATTAGCACGCGCTTTGGCGTGGGGGTTGGGGGGGGGGCAAATTGACCCCCCCCAAGAGCTTTTCCCGAATGGTTTCTGAACGGTCTGGCGTAGTTGCGCCAAATTTTGCATAGCTGTAGAAAGTTGCATAGCAAATCGTTTGACGTTCAAATTTTTAGATGTACCTTCTAAGGTCGCTGACCTATGACAGTTCAAAGTCAGCCCATGGTTTCAGCGAAGGCAATCTCTAGGAAATCGTTCAATCTGATAAAACAACGGATTGTTTGACGAAGACAGACATCTCTGAAATGCTTTCTTAGGCACCACAAATATTGAATGAGCAAATTACGTTGACCTAAGGTCAGGTATGATGGTCAGACCAAGGTCAAAACCAACCTGATTTATTACTCTAAGGCTTGCTGTATGGAATAGTTTCTGGTGCTTATTTCGAATTTATTGACAGCAGGAACCGCATTATACATAATTGATTGACTTCTTAGAGGTCAGAACAGGTCATTGACCTAAGATGACCCGGGTCGAACGTCTTGTTTTAGGAACATGCTGCCTAGCGCAATCTTTGTCGCCTAGTCAAATGCAAAACGCAGAGCAGTCGTGCATTATTTTGGTCACTATGATCTTCAAAGGGTCAAACAAGGTCAATGACCTCAAATGGGCTTGTGACCTTTTGCTTAGAGACAGTTGCCTAGGTTCTGGGGCGCTTTGGAGACCAACCTGGGATTTGACCTTCTTTGACCCTATTCGACCTGAAGATCATGATCTAGGAAACTGAAACGTTAACCTAAGTGAGTTCATGCAAAGGTCAAGACACCCTGTAAATTTGGTGCATCTAGCTTTCTCAGTTCCCGAAATCTCAGACGGGGGTCAAATTGACCCCTCCCCCACCCGAGCGAAGGGTATCTAGTCGGCCAACCGGACGCGTGTTAAAACATAGTAATTTCTTGACAGTATCATGAGCATGACAATTATTAACACCAACAGTTTGACGCTGCACTTTTCAATTTCCTTCCGCAGCACTTTTAAAACAAAACAAAGCAAAGGAATTCAATAGCAAAATAACAACAGAAAATGCAGCAAGCATAAAACACTCAAACAAAAAAAACCTCGGACTCCTACACATCAGCCCATCACCAAGCCAAACACAATAGACATACTTCTGGCTTCTGTTAAGATGGGGTCAGGGAAAACGAACATCTTGTCACTGTTTCTCACAAAATACCAATGCTTATTTCCATGAAAGTTGCCCATGCCTAACCTAAAGAGGCCTTACATCATCTCATCCTGTATAACCTGTTTGTATCACAGCAGCAGTTGTGAGTTGCTGATTCTTGCACAATTCCTTTTGCTACTTGCCATGCACTTGACCAATTTAACCTAACTTATAGGAGCCCATATGATGAACATCATCTCAATTCACCTGTCTGTTGACAGCAGCACTTGTGATAAAAACATGACATTTAAAGCTAGTTTTTGGCTGGTCTCAACTAACATTTGTATTCAGGTCATTTGTGTATGCTTGTTCACATCAGACAAAGTTGACAACACACAAATCAAAACACTTTAAATCACTTTGAACAACATGAAGGCAAAACTTGATGCATTAAAACAGAAAATGGCTAACTCTGGTTACCAATCATGTGTTGAAAGCAGGTAAGGTAAGCAATTACTTGGTCCACAGGAGACTTACTGGCTTCTTCCTGCTCCCCCCAAAACAAAAATTCAGCACATTTTGCATGGTCTGCTGTCAGACAGTCATCCAACTCACCCCAAATATAAATTTCAATCATGCCCACCAACTTCGAGATTAAAATGCGAAGCAAGTAAGAGGTGTGCACGATAAACATCTCCAGAGGGCAGAATTTCGCTATCGAACACTTCTGTATTAGCTGCGTCAGGCCTGTCCCAAGGCTATATATGGCAGCTTTGCCTTGCCTTAATAGCATTGCCAGGTAGCCTGGTGAGTCCGACACTCGAAAGGCTTGGATTTATCATTATTGAGCACCGCCATGAACCAAGAAAACGGTTAACCGAGGGTTTAAGAGGGCAAAAATAGCGGTAAAAACGAGTTCCGTGCTTCAAATTGTCTCGTTCATTCCCTGTGAATTGTTCACGCTTGGGTGTATATCAAACATGCTTGGGCGGCTGTTCAATTAATCCAACTTATGTATGAAATACGTGCAAGTTTGCAGTTGGAGCATCTTGCAGAGAAACTTGTCAACACTTTAAGCGGCAGATGGTACCTTTAAAGACAATCGAAAATGAAGGAAGAATAGAGTGGTATGACACTCGTATGATACCAGGAAAAACAAAAGTAGCTAAATAAATACAAAGACTGATACTTTTCTCGCAAAATTTTGTAATCAGTTGATTTGACTTAACATCTGTTAAGGTAAGTGCTCAAATGGTGATATTCACCTTGTAAGTTTAAATTAGAAGACATTTCTTAAACTTTTCACTCATGCATTTCGGGAGTGATGCAAATTAGTGGTCAAGTTTCCTAGGGAAAAAAGAACTACGTGAAGTAAAATTATCTAGCAGGCCTTGCTGGTGTTCGCACCAGGCTCTGCTTTCGTGGCGTGGTGGTGAGACCAAAAAAATAGGGGATGCGTGAAAACCTTGCATTTGGCACACAGTTGCAGATTGTGATGCATTTCGTAAACAAACCAAACTTAATGCGTGCAAGCGGCTGGGTTTGCTGGGGTTCTTGGGCTTGGAGGTACCTGGAGCCCTTGCTCTGTGCATACATAGACATGATTCAGACGTAGGTGAGGCAGGACATAGCCATTGGTGTCCAGGTTCTGCAGAGCCTCGTCTATGCTTGGTGGTTTCAAGAGAGCTCGGTTTTGGATGACATCTGAAAACCTCAGAAAGGGAAATCGGAGTTTGGCATGTGCGATTAGACAATGTCAGGCAGGAGTGAAAAATTCACATAAAATATGGGGAAAAGGAGTGAAAAATTCCTCCTCATAGGGTGTTGCTTTACACCCAAAGTCGGCAATTCTAGGACACTGTGCAGAATTTACTTCTGGAATTCATTGCTACACAGGTTGCGTTTATGTCTAGAAGCGTCGTTCGCGTTAATAATCACCGTGATTCTCGGCTCTTACAAAGTTTTACAACATTGATTGCGTAACCTCTCAGCTATTACAGCGTAAATGCTTGGTGCAAGTGGTTGGTATCGGACCATCTCATAGTCTACTACTGTTGTGTACGCAACTATACTCAGTTCCGTACAACTCAGGTCACGTAACACTGACGTATCTGTTAGTCTGGTACTGGTGCGTCCGCGACCGTACCCAGTTCCGTGTAACTCAGGTCACGAGACCCGGACGCACAGGCTTAAGTCAACCATAAAATAAGTGTTCACACAGATTCTGGGCTAACGCCTGCAAGGGCCGCTTCGTATCAACAACACGCGATTTGAAGCGGCGAGCTTTAAGAACAAACAACGTACACAACAATCGGTACACAGTTCACCTGGGGTGTGGGTTGGTGATAGCATCTTAGTTAAGCCGCACTCCAGGAAGATCAGAGTTCAGGGGTTCGATTCCCCACGGTGCCGGCCGGTCCTGTCAGGTTGACAGGTAAGCGATGCCACATGGCCTCAGCTGATAGGTGCGTGATAGAGCCCCAATGAAACAGCTCGATACATGAGCGCACGTGGGAACATTACGCCAATAAAGAAACGATTCACAAGACGTCAGTATGAGTTTGAGACCATGGGCCTAATGAGTCTAATGACTCATCTTGACATCAACGGCGCGCTCACCTGATATGTGGACATCTCGTCGAGGCGTGACCAGCTGCTGAATGTGGATCAGACTCAGGTACGCCATGGCCACGAGGAGGCACACGCTGCGAGCATACAGTCAGCGGCCGTCAATCCCCCGGTCAGGCGACAGCGTCTGAGGAATGCATGTAAGGTGACCAGGCTGTGGCCAACTTGTTCAATTCGATGATAGGCTAATTTCAGTTGCAATGCGGAGAAACACTCCCTATTCTTTGACCAGCCTGTACTGCGCTGGTGCTCCTGCCGCGTGACCAGGCGCTCACGCGGCTCGTGCGGGCCACGCCTGCGTCAAACCGCTACGGGTGCTGGGTGGCCCGTTATTTTTACGCTTCTCTTAGAACTCTGGAAATGAAAATAGTCTCAACACATACACATTTTATGGCAATTGTCACCTGACATAACTTACAGTAAATTCAGCCAGTATGTTGTGGTAAATAGAGACGAATCGGCTCGCATTTATCGGATATAAATGCGTGACAAATGGCGTCATCTCCACCTGGTAAGTACGAAATCTGGCTTGAAGTCAGATGTGCTGTGCAAGACGGGGTACATGCCAATGTTTGTTGAAGATGGTCGCTCGGTAGATGGGCCCTGCTGAAGCTATTGCCAATAACTATGCCGGGATACTCTCTGACACCCCGTTTCTGAAGCCTAGCTTTCAGGTCTCGTCTGTGCCTGATCACTGTAATATAGTCATTTTGCCCACTACAGATTCGCCTCAACTGCAGAGCTAATCCGTAAGACCCGGGAATTTTGGTGTGGTAAAGGTGGCTTGATTTGAATTTGATTTTTGTCAACAATTTAGAGGTTTTTGCTGTGCCTTTAAGTCGCGTAAGGTGCGCGTGTGACCCCTGGTTAACTTACTGTTCCTTAAACTACCTTCATAAGTTTCAGCAATTGCGTACTACCTTGTCAATTAATTCGCAGAGTATACCTCTATATAGATATAGATATAGATAGTAGATATAGATATATATATATATATATATATATATATATATATATATATATATATATATTCTACACGAGTGTTGTCAACGAACTTGGCGTAGGTGCCGTTCTTAAGCTTTTTTTTGCACTTCATCTAGTTGTCTTATTACGGTTGTCTGTTCATCATTCAGACTAAAACGTAACCCGCCAACGTTTGGCATTTATCAATTGACCTGTCGTCTCGGAAATACATATTCCATTTTAAAAAGCACACATTTTATTATATATATATATAAATATATATATATATATATATATATAACTTCCTCTCTACAAAGTGACTCATATCAATACACTCGCGGCGCGTTTAACAGAACATCGGCCGCATCATCAGCCAAAGAACTCACACGTTCAGTGTAAGCCATTATGTTTTAAAAAAACGTACTGGCAAATTGAAAATACCACACATGCAAATGCCATGGTAGGCAAGCAGCCCAAAATTTTATAGATCCTCTCTCTCTCTCTCTCTCTCTCTCTCTCTCTCTCTCTCTCCTCTCTCTCTCTCTCTCTCTCTCTCTCTCTCTCTCTCTCTCTCTCTCTCTCTCTCTCTCTCTCTCTCTCTCTCTCTCTCTCTCTCTCTCTCTCTCTCTCTCTCTCTCCTCTCTCTCTCTCTCTCTCTCTCTCTCTCTCTCTCTCTCTCTCTCTCTCTCTCTCTCTCTCTCTCTCTCTCTCTCTCTCTCTCTCTCTCTCTCTCTCTCTCTCTCTCTCTCTCTCTCTCTCTCTCTCTCTCTCTCTCTCTCTCTCTCTCTCGCTCTCTCTCTCTCTCTGTCGTTCAGGATGGTATGCCTTGCCATTGTCTCTTTGAGATGGTTGTTAGGTAGATCAATATACACCAATAAACCTGATGTAATCATAAGTGCATTAAAAATGTTCAGTTCTTCAAATTATGATATACTTTACGAACGTACGTTATCAAAACCATTTGTTGTCGGCAGACTGCGGAAAATGGCACTTAAACTGGATCAGAGGCGCGTCAAGAGGCTGGTATGAGTTTTTGACACCAGCTTCTAACATAGTATAGAGCATTCCACGCCTATCAGCACCGCACGTGGAAAACACAACGCTTGCAGTGGTAAGTGCCTTGCGGCGTTACCACAGTCCTGGCCTTGCGACAAGGTCAGCTGGACGAAACAATGCAAGTCACATTATTTCCGATGCGCTACACCGTTGCGGCCTAAAACGGCACTGCTGGGAATTAAACATGTTCGCCTCGTCTAACAAGTTGCACGATGTTCCAGATGTGTCCAATTCCTTAAGAAAATACGACAAATTACGTCAGTTTAGAAAGACAGCCAAGGCCAGTAAAACACGTTAACTTGCCTGTCCAAGCAGCATCACAGTTCGGAATATTGACTAAGTGAAGCACAATACGGAGCAACAACGTATTCAGAGCGACTTAAGTCGAGCTCGTATTACGGCGAAAAGTACGTGTGTTGAGAACCTTCGAATAGAACCAAAAGAAAAAAAAATAGTGAGCACGAGGGAACACGACATCCAGTTCTGTGCGAAGTTTGCAAACGCTGCGCTTGGGGAAGCCTGACACATTTCCGTTCCATAGAATGGTCCATGAACCCAAACGCCGAGGTGATAACAAGTTGCGACACATTGGCGAGCAGTTCGACAGTGACGACCCAGGGCTGTGCGCAGTACTGGCGTGGCTGCGGGGGTGGTGCCGATGCATACAAGTCAGAGTTCATCTAGAAACTAGCCAACGGAGACGATCATAATGCTATGGACCTGCCGTCGCGCAAACCGTGCCACCAAAACCATCTTTCCTGTACCATAAGTGGTTAGTAGACGGGAAGACAAAATCCGTTTCACCTCAGTCATTGTGCTGAGCCGCGGTGCCAGATTAGCCTCTGCAGCAAGCTATGCTTGGCAAGAATCCTGGCTTCAACGTCATCCTCTCAAGGTGGCGTGTGATCTATTTCCAGAGCATGAAATACATCGACAAACAATAATATGAGCTTGTTCTCACGACCCACAGCGCTGACTCACCCAGCCGTTCGGAGCTATTTGGATCTGTACCATATCGGCTGACCAGGCACAGCTCGGCTTACTCGACCGACCCCGCGTCCCGGTGGACCTCTCCACGATGTGACGCCAGCTTGTCCTCGTCTGAACCGGCTGCGGCCGCGGTGTCCCAAGGTCCGACGTTCCAGACCCATGTTGACCGGGTAACTCACATGTGTACGGAGTGCGCCGGCGCCAGTCGGATGGCGGCGAACGTGAGCGCCGCCTGCGCCAGCAAGTGTCTCGCTTGCCTGCGTCGTGGGACAAGTGAGATCGTCAGGAATGGCAGAAACGTATTCGCCCTCGGCACTGGTAACGCGTTCCCCGCAACGGAACAAATTACGTCACCAGGCATCTAGTGCGCGTGAGCGCCGGCCAGTGAGTGATTCGTTCCAGTGCAGCTTGTGCAGTGCAGTGCAGTGCAGTGCTACTGTGCAGCTGCACAGAACGCTTATCTCGCACGGCGCTATATTTTCACCGCACGAGACACCATCATATACCTGCCGAGCACCACTCCATTGCAGCACTGGGGGCTGGCCGCTACCCTATCTCTTCAGCCCCTCTCTTCAACCCCCTGACCAGACCAGACTCGATCCCATCCGAGCCCTTGCCGTGACCTCACGCGACCTCGCCCCGTCCCTGACTAGGCCTTGTTCTGACTCATAATTCCCCCTGAACTGGTACAACCAGCCTTGACCTAACCCTGTCCATCCTTGGCCGTGACCCGGCCCGGCCGAGCCGGGCGCACGAGCGGCGGCCCGCTGTGTCCGTACTCGCCATAGCAGACGTGCAGCAGGAGGACGCCGAGCGCAGTGAGCGCGAGATGGCGGGCCGCGGCACCAGCCACCGCCGGCCGCAGATACCGCCGGAACAGCAGGGCAGACGCCAGGCCCACCAACTGACACAGCAGAAACCGCACCTACCGGAGAGTGTGGCCGCTCAGCTAAGGTCACCGCACCTGCCGGAGAGTGTGGCGGCTCAGCTCGTGTCACCGCACCTGCCGGAGAGTGTGGCAGCTCGGCTAGGGTCACAGCACCCGCCGGAGAGTGCGACGGCTCAGCTAGGGTCACCGAACCTGCCAGAGAGCGTGGTGGCTCAGCTAGGGTGACCGCACCTGCCGGAGAGTGTGGCGGCTCAGCTCGTGTCACCGCACCTGCCGTAGAGCGTGGCGGCTCATCTGGGGTCACCGCACCTGCCGGAGAGCATGGTGACTCAGCTAGGGTCACCGCACCTGCCGAAGAGCGTAGCAGCTCAGCTAGGGTCACCGCACCTGCCATAGAGCGTGGCGGCTCAGCTGGGGTCACCACATTTGTCGGAGAGTGTGACGGCTCAACGAGGGTCAGGACATGCCGGAACAGGACTCGACAGGTCAGGACGACTGGGGTCAGCACGGATTGGAACTACGGATGCAGATGGATTAAATGCTGATGCAACAACGCAGTTAAGGCGAGTTGGATCAATAACTGGAAATGGGTTCTGTTGAGGTAACGTAAGGAAAGAGAGGTGGTAGTACTCGATAAGATCAGAGATGGCACACATGAAGTCGAGCTGTGGTCATGGGACACAGGTAGGGCCAGGTCAGAAGGGGTCTCGGGTGGGATCAGTTCACAGATGGGGCAAGGATGGGGCCACGTCAGAGGGGGTCACGGGCGGGATCAGGTAACAGGACATGGGTGAGGTCAGGCAACAGATGGGAAACGGGTGGGGACAGGTCAGAGGTGGGAAATGGGCAGAGGTAACATAACGATGTGATGTAAAGGAGCCATAGCTCAGGAGCGGGACACCAGTGGTGTCGGGCCAGACGAGGTCAGGCCAGGCAGCTTGAGTTTAACTAACGGTGCCCGTGCACAATCAAGTAGTTGATAAACATTCAACAGTATGCGTGTTATTACGCAAAATGTAACCACGAGCGCGAGCATGTACGAGTGAGCATGCCACCACTACAGTGCATGACTGCGGATATGTGACACTGGACAGGTGGAGAAGAGCATCGCAGATTCCGAATCGTTCCCACGAATGCATGCCCAGGATGCACTCACTAACCTGGTCGAAAGGCAGGCCGACTGACTCGACAAGGCTCCGGAATTCGACACTCCCGGGATTGCTGTCACCTTATGGGTTCCATGGCCACACTGAAATAACAAGAGAATAGCATCGTTGACACCGTCAGTACCAACGGTAGATTCTCGAAGTTACAAGCTCCACACCCAACAAATTTTCACCTCAGAGTAAATAAATCAACTGCGACCAATATGCACTCTTACAACCGGAGTTTTGCATGGATAATTTGGTTACAATTAAGGAAAACAGACACCACCGAAAAATCATCGATTTCGTCAGCTGGAGTAGACAAGCCCATTTTCAGTGAACAGTGAGCCAATGCCATCTGTAAATTAGCGGCGAAAGTTCAGCGATCTCCATCCGCTGATTAATGAAGGCGAACGCGATCAAAAGTAACGCCCACTAATATTCTTTCGAAGGACGTATGATGGCTTTCGCATATCATTCATTCTTGGTGCCCAAATCATGAATGATCGACCGCGGGGGTACAGACTGCTGCCGCTGACCTCATTGGCAGCTACGTCAGGGCGAGCAGAAATCAAGATTGGATACTACGGACCAGGCCGGGCTAAGCGCGCGCGCCGGGTAGAAGAGTTGTCACCAAAGGTAACAACCTCTGAGGAACACGCATCGGACATCCGGCGGCCTTGCCTGCGCGTTTGTTTCATAAACGGAACAGTGACTTGCGCTCTTTTTAAACAACGAAGCGCAAGCTATTAGGCTGGAAATGGTCACACATTCTCTTCAACATTTAACACGCGTTCTGGAGACCCAACGTTAAAATGCCACACCGTGAAGAAACGAGCAAAATCTGTCCCCTCTTCTCTGTCTTTACTCTCAGCAATCTCAGACGCGTAAAATTCTCATTTTTTCTCTTAACAATCTCATAGCCGTGGAAGTTGAGGAGCGAAGCGCCTTGGTGATATTCTACTGCTGAGTTGTTGCGACCTGAGACGACCTGGAAAAAGGTCACCAAGCGGACGTTTAGGGCATTTGGTAATTACAATCCGCTCAATATGGCACATATCACACATCAACACGTCTATGCAGACCAATGGTGAACAATGCGCTAGGCAACGCTTGAAACATGCCAACTGCTATACTTAACCACGGCGACCGTTACCACCAGTGGGGCATAACGAGTCAATGTGCGCCTAATCACTCTGTAGGGGCAGTATCGGAGGCACATATTTCCTCAAACACAAACCGGTAGCGCAGAATTCTTCATAGGGTGGAGGCCGCTAGACCTGGTGTGCAACATTCTCACCAGCACAGTTAGTTAAATATGCCTGAAGACACACAAGCGATAAATGTACTCCATGGTTCAAGAGGTCAACTAACGCTAAAAGATGCAGCTTACCTGGGGGTTCGCATTTAGTTTTGGTCACAGCAACAGGAGGCCCTCAATGCATACAAGCCCTGTTCACACATACACAGTGTGTCCAACAGGTTTTTCAGGAACGCAATGCAGCATTACTGCGCCTGACAAACGTCCCATTCAACCAGATATGACCAGGTTTGACACCAAAATAATACTGCATATCGTTTGTCAATCTATCAGAGGAGTAAGAAGTCAGCCATGATAACAAGTTACTGGTATTCATTCCGCGGTACCTCTGCAGCGTTACGAGCGTCCGTTTGTCAGCAAGGTGGGCCTGTAGTCGCCATGAACGAGCGATCCGACGTGGCCGGGATGTCACTTAAAATTATACCGCCATAGCTGATTCCTTGTGTATATTCTACGTCTCGTTATCTTGTTAACAGACGCACCGGAAATCGCTTGCTGGTAGTTTTCAGATTGTACAAACCTGTGAAAACAGGTGCATTTGTACGGCACTGATCACGACGGTTGGTGGGACCGCGCTGCTTCTGGTCCGTTTACTTACGCGGTGCGCCTAACAACGTTGTCATAAAAAGTTCGATTTTCTGAATCTGAGCAGTGGTAGCCCGAAAACTCTTCCGCTCGCTCCAGGTCAGTTGTGCCTTAGTCTCCCCCCCCCTTTCCCCTCCCTCATCTGCATATGGCCTACACTCAAACGTCGCCGAGCCATCCGCGCCTTGGTCGTTGCGCTAATTGGAAGCGCCACTCCATTCAGCTCTGACTCAGGAGATCACCAAACTCATGCTGACGTCAGCAAATGTTGCATCATGCCACTGCGCCCGAGCGCTTTCAGCCGCGGTAAACATATCAGTATAAATAGCCTGTTAGCCGTGGCTTCTTGAAGCGCACATACTGGGCGATGCCACTATAAAAGACGGCGTATGTTTAGTATATTACGGGCGGATACAAAATTCCCACCAGCATCGATAGCTACAGCAATCGGACAAACGACACAAATGGCGCACAGCATCGCCTTGCAGAAAACAAAGCAATCAACGCATTCGAAATCCATGGAAACTCGAAACTCTTCCCAATGTGCATTGATGCTACCATTGATGTAAGACGTACAAATGTGCTCGGCGCTGTTGGAATCTGAGCCTTCTGTGACCTTACACTACCACATGCGAAAGCATACAGCGAGAATGGATGTGCTCACACGGTATGGTTTCAGGCTTTCAGGCTGACTATCCCCCGCTCTCGGGGAACTGCCAGCCCGCATCAGATAAGCGCAGGAGACGGGACCTACCCCCGAAATACGCTAAAAGGCACGACGGCAGGCAGAGCACCGGTGGACTGCAGTCATTCACCTGTGCCCCCCGCTAAAATACCTCAGGTTATAACATGGAATGAAAACAGGGGAAACTTTGAGCGTGGGTCAACAAGTGGTGGAATTAAGGTGCACTCAGCCCATGATCCACTCCGGTGACAGTCCCTCTTCATTATAACATACCTTTCCTGTTCCGGTGGATGAAAAATAAATGGTGCTCTTCTATTCCTGTCATGGCACAATTTTCGCATGGTTTGCATTACAACCATGCAGCCCAGCAGCGTGCTATAAGTACAGGTTAAGGAGGAGGTAAAGTGGGACAACACCGTGGGAGACTACCGCATGCCCTGTACCCGTCTTCCATCTAGATTGTGTGTGCGTAGGATATATACCCCGGGTGTGGGGGGAGGGGACGGGGAAACCACTCTTAAAATGCACATAATTCGGGTTTGACATGCACCACTTATGTGCTGATCCGGCGAGGAATCTTTCTTTGGAGACGATTCCCGAACATCGCGCCAATCACTCGAAAACCAAGCTTCTTAAAAAGACACGATGTCCGCTTTTACAGCATCCCGCAAGACCATGTCGGTCATGAGCACACCAGTGCCCAAATGCTTATTACAAGCTGCATAGATCAGCAGGAACGCGTGGCCTTAACTACACCATGCCCGATGATGCAGATGCGGCATCGTCGCGCACTTCAAGGTCACCGTTCCACGGCACAATGGCCAAACCGGCTCCGTCACGTCATCCTCGCCGTGCATCGCCCCTGTATACGCGCCACCGTCCTCTCGCCCTAGGGCTCGAGGTAAGCGAGCCCAGCCTTGATTTGAATTCTGTTCGGACTCAGTTAGATTTGGCTCATTCCCGGAGTCGATCGAATCGGAAGAAGCGATCGAGATGATCTCTGTGGCAAGAGGTTACCTGATAGACTATTATATGGACTGCATGAGCGCCTATGCGCGACATTCCTACCTTAATAAGAGCAGAACATCGTCGCGACAGAGACATAAAGCCTATGGATGGAGTGAAAGACATGATCGCTCCCCTTAAAGAGTCGGGTGCGCAAGGCCCCCTTCGAAGGCCTAACGTCATATTTCAGCGATTATTCTCTTAAAACTTAAAATACGAGATGACATGCGTTTTTTAACGAGGTGGCAGAAAAGCTCAGGGTCTCAGGATAGGGTTATAATCCGTCGCTGGCTCGAAGTGCGGTCCCAAGGTAGAAAAGGGGGATAAATCCGACGAAGATGTTTTTGAGGCCTCCAAGCAAACCATGAGACCCTGTTCGGCTTGTGGGACCCATCCCACAACCTCCCCACAAGTGGCGAAAGTCGCGCTACGTTTCCTCGCCAGAATACGCACATTGGTCGTTCCTTTCATGCAATCTAAACTGATATCACTGATTAGGGCCTTATCTACCGTACACTTAACTCCAGTCAACAAATTCCACACGAAATCGATACACTTGCTCCACGATTTGATTGATTCCATCGTGGACCCTGACTACACGTTAAGTCAAGTGTACTGGTACCACCCGCTGCAGGCCAGAACACTACCCTTGGTACCAACCATGGCACTGCCCGTCACTACTGCCGGTAGGTACTAATTGGTGCCAGCTGCCAACCTCGTCGGCCCCGAAATCCTGCATCTCTGATCGAGGGTGCGGTTACGTGTTCAGCTGGAAGGGTTCCAGCCCGCCCCAACTTCGCCCCTCCCCCATAGAAGCGGAAGTGGGTTAATTTCGTGCAGAGGTTGGACTTCGCTTGAATATGGGTGTAGTCGAAGTCATTTGCGAGGGACTCCGACCCCAGTTAACCTTCAAAAATTCTCCCAAGTCAAAACGGTTCATAATGCTTGGCCATCTGGCAGCTGCGGTATTGCTGCACTGAACTCGGATACGCAGGGCAAAGGGTGGTATGTACTGAATCCCAGCAGAGGCCCCTGCGGTGGCACGGCGGTGGGGTGGTGCGGCCGGCCGCGCACACGCCGGAGGAAGCGGGGGGGGGGGGGGGGGGAGGGGAATGCTGTCCTTACCGCGGCGAACGACAGGTGCTCGGATTACAGTACAGCAGCTTGGGGCGTTTGATATAGCTCGTAGAGACGAGAGAGCAGGTTACTGTCGACCTCCAGCGCCACGGCAACGGGGAAACTCATGCAACAAGCGAGGAGTCATCAGACCTGCGCTTGGGCCGCCGGGCTGCAGGGGCCGTGTCAGGACTCTGTCCGCCCCGGGACACGACCGCGAATGCAGCCGCGTCGTACTATGAAAAGCACCCAGCGTCGCTAAGACTGTGTACAGCCCTCAGCACACGGTTAACAATCACGTTCATCGAACACGACATGCACGTTTCCCACTAGACACATGCACCGCATGCATAACTGCGTATATCAGCAGTAAGTAGAACTTGCGGTACCACATTATTTGATTACGCAAAGCGAGAACGGCCTGGAGCGACGAGCTTTCTATAATTTCAAAATCCTTGGGCTGTCAGAGCCACCAAGTTATTTTGACACAACGCAACTCCCACGGCTGGTTGGCCCCTGCTACCTCATACGCTCCCACGGCTGGTTGGCCCCTGCTACCTCATACGCTCCCACGGCTGGTTGGCCCCTGCTACCTCATACGCTCCCACGGCTGGTTGGCCCCTGCTACCTCATACGCTCCCACGGCTGGTTGGCCCCCCGGTACCTCTCACCAGCATCGCCATGGGTGCGACGTGAGAGTTGCGACATTGGGCAATGGACCACGCAGGCACTTTCCGTCCATGTGGGGACTTCCCGCCAAGCATACCACACAAGCTAAGTTAGAGAGATGAGGGACACGTCGGCTAAGCTACCCGGAAGTTGCGTCCATTGCGGACGGCTAAGACCACGGGCTGCCGCGCACCGCTGTAACGGCATCGCAGGCATCACTGCGGTACCGGCACCGGTGAGTTACCCGTGGCCGGTGTAATCAACCAAAGACTGCAGACAGGCACTTCTTCTAGTATTTCGGCATCAGCGGTAATGAAGGCAGGCCTGGGCTGGCAATGGTCAGGCTTCTTCAATGGTGACAGTGAATATTGTATATGTGTACTTCAACACTGTCAACATGATTTTTGACCAAAACACACCACATGACGCGCAAAATGCGTGGCCTTATTAAATGGCTGTTCTTCTTTAACGTCGCTTTACAAGCAGCAGCGGCCTGCACCCTCCCGAGAACTTCACATTCCTAGTTCCAAGGAAGACCGAAACTACCACAGTCAGTGAGGTGTGCGGGCAAAAACCGAAAATATTGCGCCGAATGACCCTGCCGTGCTCCAAGTCTACACATCAACATTATATTCAATTGTCGCGTCACATGTCCCTGCACTCCCTAAACACGTTCCTGCCAAGGGGAACATATGTGGGCTACGAGCCGCGTTTGCCATCTCGCCACGGGACGGCCGGACCCTGGGTGAAGCACGGAACAGAACACCCATCGCCACGCACCCGATGCGCATCAATCACCCCACCCGCACAGCACCCCACTTTGGTTACAAATGTTGCTGTTCAGCAGCAAACAGCGCCATTTACCAGCTCGGGGGCGGCGGTGGGACAATTGGACCTATTGCTGAACTGCTGCTGGGCGGTGACGGAGAAGTTCAGAACTTCACCTGCACCTGACCGCCTAGGCTCTCGGGTTCCGCGGTCGGCGACAGCCGGCACTGATGCTGAAAGGGTGTATTCACCGCCGCCACAGGCCGAACCGCACCCACCCCCGTCACCGCCCGCATTCAACTGGTCGGCCATGATAAGAGCCGTCCACTACGTAGTAAACGCCCGCTATGAAGTAAGCGACGGCCGCCGGTAGACGGCAGCACTGACCGGCGGCCGCTGCAAACATGAGTACTATTAGTTGCCGGCCACGCGGCGGGCCGGGGGTCTCTAAACCGCTTTTTACTGAAAATAGTACTGTCCACTCACCATTTTTTAAGTAAGATATAATCAAGTGTGCTACCAGGATTTTACGAAGAGGGGGGGGGGGGGGGAGGGGCATTAATGAAGCACTTATATCCCGCTCCAAAGTCCAAAAAGCCCACGTAAGACTCCCAAATAGGGTGCAGCTTTGGGGCTTGGAGCCTTGGGGTTCACTGCCCGTCCACGTGTATCAAGTGTGTATCACCCCACAGCATGTTGCATAAGTTATGAACAGCCCTTACTATCCGCTTTATATAAGACGCATCGTTCTGACCGTGTCACATGTCGGTCGTGGCTGATGCATCGGGCTGGCCTCTGCTGGGTTCTCAGACGGTGACCAGTCAAGTGTCTCCTTTTTCCACCGCGCTCCCACTCGATAAACGCCACTGATGTCGACATGCATTTTCCAATTCTGACAGGCGAGGCATTATTTCTCACTAGTTGCCAGACGCTCTCACATTTGTATTTGTAATTGTTTGTTTGAAATTCATCCAAGAGGTGGTTTGCCAAGTCTTCGGCTCGTTTCACCGCTCACTGGGCTCGGATCGTCACACCATTCCTTCACACGTTACAACACATTACAAAATTGTTATAAAAGACGATCATACAAAATGTACCATAAGATACGATGTTACGAGATGTACAACGATAGAATAAAATACGATACCATTAAGTACGCGTGACGTCGAATGATAAATCGAATAAATGTTCTAAACCGACAACAAGAGAATGTCCCAAACTCAGAGCATGCGTGCAAAGATGAATCCAAACAACAAAAAAGAAAAAAATGTGGAAACAAAATGTAAGTACATGCGATGTACGCTGACATCTCAAGATCACACACATACATACATTTGGCGTTCAATCATACATTCAACCAGTTTAGGCTTAAATCTAAGACCCATTAACTAGCATTTTCGTCCTGAAATGCGACTTTTAATCCCTTAGAGGTGAAGGCAAGACATAGTAATGAACGAAGGCATGCGCTTTCAAGTTGCCGAGGCACAAAAAGGAAAAACTCGCTTGGTGGCTTCCAATGGGCATCTGCACAGGTGACAAATGTCGAAATGGAGGAACGCGTCTCCCATAGGGAAACAGAGGCATGCGACTTGAAGGGAGATCGGGCAGCGGATGCGATTCTTGCCACCTTGACTTCCGCCCACGAACCCCATCTGAGTACTCACCTCAAGGCTATCAATTCAGTTTGCTCGGAAATGTTACGTCGGTCATGCAAAATAACAACTGATGAACCTTCTTGAACTCAATAATAAAGCAAATGGCCGCAGTACGAGTAGCAGGAGTGAATATCCGTAATAATCACTTGCGACGAGTTTGAATCGCCGCATGAATGTATGAGCCAATTGCACGCTTTTTGCTGCTACTGCGGCCGTGTTACGCGAGCATGCTATTACGGCCCTATTACGGAAAACTGTGATTACAAATCCATATATGAATCGATTATTGTCGACTTTGTTTAAAGAGACCGTTATGGCTTCTGGATGATAGCATCGGTGTGTAAGCCGCTGTAGAGCATACCGTTCCTGTGGTATCGGGAGTTATCAGAGACTGCAAAGGGGTTGATATTCTCCTCGCAGCGTCACACTACGAAAACTTTAAAGGGGATCTTTTGGTCTCGGGCCTTCTTTTTTGCGATATTTTCAGCCTGGACGCGAATGATCTCGTGTGAGAATATTCGATTTTTTTACATTATCGACCAACTGGAACTTGGAAACCCTCGAACATTCACGAGCGAAAAAACTTACATTAACGCCGAGGCCTTGCAAAAAAGAGCCCCCGGGGCAAAAGACCTCTCTAAGGT